GCTGATGGCGTTGTTGACCTGAACTGGGCGGCCGAGGTGCTGAAGGTGCAGAAACGGCGCATCTACGACATCACCAACGTCCTTGAGGGCATCCAGCTCATTGCCAAGAAGTCCAAGAACCACATCCAGTGGCTGTAGGTACCAGTCTAGTGGGACAGCAGAAATACCTGGCCGTGGCAGCCCAGAGGAGCTGGTAGCAGCTCCACTGAGGCTCTCTGCACCCTCCTCTCGCAGTGAGGGGAGCGCTCAGAGCAGCGGTGGCTTCCCCAAGATGGCAGATGCTGGAGAGCGCACGGATCCTCCATAGGCAGCGCAGTGCAGCTCTGCGTGCTGTTCACCCACGTCGTCTCCATCCGGATCAGGGTGAAGAGCATGTCCGAGTCCCAGAAAGATCCCCGGGGCCCCTTCCAGTCTTTGCCCCTCCTCCTACCGCCAGGTCACCAGTGTTTGGCTTTGGTTGCCATGGGTGAGGTGTTTAGTACCCTTGCTCTTTTATTTTTTTTAAAGATTTGTCTGAAAGAGAGCGTGTGCTTCCATCTGCTAGTTCGCTCTCCAGGTGGCTTTGGCCAGGGCTGGGCCATCTTCCACCACTTTGCCCAATCTGTTAGCAGGGAGCTGGATTTGAAGTGGAGCACCCAGGACACATGGGGTGCTGGCGTTGCAGGTGGAGGCTCTACCACTGTGCCACAGTGCTGTTCCCTAGGTTTATTTTATTTGAAAAGCAGAGTGACAGAGATGGAAGAGACATTTTCTAAGATTTTATTTATTTGAAAGAGTTATGCAGAGAGAGAGGTCTTCCATCTGCTGATTCACTCCCCAATTGGCCACAACAGTCAGAGCTGCGCCAATCCGAAGCCAGGAGCTTCTGGGCCCCCCTCGTGGGTGCAGGGGCCCAAGGACTTGGGCCATCTTCCACTGCTTTTCCAGGCCATAGCAGAGAGCTGGATCGGAAGCGGAGCAGCCGGGACTGGAACTGGCGCCCATATGGGATGGCGTCACTGCAGGCAACAGCTTTACCCACTATGCCACAGTGCTGGCCCCTCCTGCCCGTTCCTATTTTATTTCCCCCTCACCTCTTTTCCCCAGGCGTCCTGCTAACTCTCTGACACGTCTGCCTTTTCAGCCTGTGGCAGGTCATCCCATTTCACAGCATTTTTCCCTTTTCATGGACTGTGTGTCAAGTGCTCTGTGTGTGTCTGATGCATTCTTGTCCTTATACAACTTGTCATGTTCCGTAGTGGCTCCATCTGCTTATCCGGCCCCCGAGGAGGGACCTATGTGCGTTTGCAGACATCGAGGCCAGGCTTTAAACCCACACAGGCTGATCTGGAGCCCCCCTGAGGAGCCAGACCCAGAGAGGGGCAAGGGCTTGGCTGGGTCTCAGAACAGGCAGCAGCAGACCTGGTCCAAGAGCTGTTAACCCTTGTGGTCCTCCCCACAGAGGCAGCCACACCACGGTGGGCATCGGCGGACGGCTTGAAGGGCTAACACAGGACCTCCGGCAGCTGGAGGAGAGCGAGCAGCAGCTGGACCACCTGATGCACCTCTGTGCCACACAGCTGCGGCTGCTTTCTGAGGACTCTGACAGCCAGCGATATCCTTGGCTGGAAGCTGTGGGCCCCCCACGAGTGGCACTGGAGAGGCCACCCTGGGCCCTGGGAGAGCACCCGGGTTGTGGGTGCAGGTCCTGGCTCAGCACGTGCTGTGTCACTAGGCCAGTTACTTAACCTTTCAGCGCTTAGCTTCATCTATAAAGGACGTAATGTCCAACTCTGAAATCCGATTACGAAAGAAAGGCAGGTGTTAACAGTAACCATTGTGGCTTCAAAGGTACAGGCAATTTATTTTTCATTTTTGTAAGGAATTTCCTTAAAATAGGACTTCTTTTTAGTGGATACCCAAATTGTGCTTCTAAGTTTTGACTCCAAAATCATGGTTCAAAATAAGTTGGCCAGTAGCGGCCTGGAGTTGCACTGAGCGTTTTCCTAGGAGTCATCATTGCAGGCAGCCGCCATCATCCCCTTGGGATTGGAGGAGCTGAATGGTCCCATTGTACGGGAGTGGAAGCTGAGGCTCGGGGCAGGGAAGGGAGATCTTGAAAGTACCACATGCCAGGCCCTAGGTAGGGGGTTGAGCGGTGAGGACAGCAGAGAACAGGCAGCCACAGGCCTGCCTATGAGCTGTCTGGGTGAGTGGCCCCCAGAGGCAGAGGCCGTGTGTAGTCCTTGACTCCTCCAACCCTGGCCTACGTGACCTGCCAGGACCTTCGGAGCATTGTGGATCCTGCAGAGCAGATGGTCATGGTGATCAAGGCTCCTCCTGAGACCCAGCTCCAAGCTGTGGACTCCGCAGAGGTGAGACCAAGACAGGCTGGGCTGGGCTGTGATCGCCCGGGCCTGCGTTTACCCCGCCTGCCACCTCTACCCAGACCTTTCAGATCTCCCTTAAGAGCAAACAAGGCCCCATCGATGTTTTCCTGTGCCCTGAGGAGAGTGCGGGCGCGATCAGTCCTGGGAAGACCCCGACCCAGGGCGTGGCATCTGGGGAGGAAGACAGGACAGCTGACTCTGCCACCTTGGTTCCACCTTCGTCATCTCCTCCCTCATCCCCTGCTCTGGATCCCAGCCAGTCCCTTCTCAGCCTGGAGCAAGGTAGTTGAGGGGTGCGGGGTAGGGTGAGGTAGGGCAGAGCCCCCTCGTGAGCGTGCAGGCAGCCCCTGTGATGTTCCCCTGTCTTCCCAGAACCGCTGCTATCCCGCATGGGTGGCCTCCGAGCCCCCGTGGATGAGGACCGCCTGTCCCCACTGGTGGCAGCTGACTCGCTCCTGGAGCACGTGCGGGAGGACTTCTCCAGCCTCCTCCCCGAGGAGTTCATCAGCCTTTCCCTCCCATGAGACCCTCGACTACCACTTCGGCCTCGAGGAGGGGGAGGGCATTAGAGACCTCTTTGACTGTGACTTTGGGGATCTCACCCCGCTGGATTTCTGAGGAGGCTTCGGGGGGAGGTATCTCCTGAGATGCCCACCCTGGCTGTCTCTGCAGCCCCGGAGCCCCTTGCCTCTGGCCGTCCTCCCAGCCTGATTGGAAATGTTTAATTTATTCCCCTCTCCTATCTCCAGGGGCTTCTCGCTCTGGGATCTGGCTGTCGCCAGGAAGGGGGGATTCTGTTTGCAGTGTGTGTGTGCTTATCCCTGACACCCCCCACGTGTGTACCTGGGGTGCGTGTGGTGTGAGCGTGCATGTGTGCGTGGACCGGGGAATGAAGGTGAACACATCTGTGCGTGTACTGCAGACGCACCCCAGTGTGTCCACGTGTGTGGCGTGCGTCCGTGTGTGCGCGTGAGGGGGCTCGAACTGCACTTTCGGTCTCCTTGCTCCAGGGGCCCCACGAGGCCCAGGGCAGCCCCCTGCCCACAGCATCCTGTGTGCTGAGCGGGCCAGGTGGGAGCCCTTGGCTGTGAGGGTACAGGACAGTGAGCACTTCTGTCTTAAGGGTTTCCTGACCGAAGCTTTAATGGAGCGTTATTTATTTATCAAGGCCTCCTGGGTAGCCTGGGAATGGGCAAAGGGTCGGAGGGAGGAAGGCCTGCAGAGCTGACTCCCTGTCCCTGAGCAGAGACGGGGCCCTGAGCTGTTCTCACCCCGCCCGGAAGGAGCTGAGGCCTGAGCGATTTATTTATTGGGAAAAGGAGGGAGGGAGACAGACTGACTGACAGCCAGCCAGCCGTGAGTGATGGAGGGGGTGGCTCCTCCCCAGAGTCACTGCAGGTCCCCAGCCGTCCCCCAGGTTGGCCGTGAGCAGGGAGAGGGGAGTGAGGGATCTTCCCTGAGGGTGGGCAGGAGGGGTGAGTGAGGGGCCTCTCGTGTGGTCAGCTGGCTGCTCCGTCCCACCCTCCATCTGCACTTTGACTTGTTTCCTAACAGCTCTGTTCTCTCCTGCTTTGGTTTTAATAAATATTTTGATGACGTTTGGGCTGGGTCTGGGGACTCTGTACTGGGAGCAAGTCTGGCTGGGAAATGCCGTTCCCCACGTCCCTTCCTCGCCCTGCCCCGGTCAGTCTCGTTTGAGCCTCATGACTCCAAGAAAGGTGGGCATCTTCCTCCTAGCTAAAGATGGGTCCAGTAGAGAATCTTGTCCTGAGAAGTGACAAACCGCAGGGGGTAAGTGGACTCCTCCTTCGCCTGCCCCCAGGCAACTCACCAGTTGGCTGTGTTCATTCTGGGTAGTTGTGGGCCTTGTAAACATGCAGCAAAGAGGTCTTCCATCTGCTGGTTCACTCCTCCAAATGGCCACAACAGCCAGGTGTGAATGACTTCCCTTGGAGTCTCAGAGGCTGGTGAAGATTCGCACAGATGAGATCTGGGAGAGCTTCCTGGAAGGGGGGGGGGTGCTGGAATTGAGAACTGCAGGATGAGTGGGAGCTAATCTGAGTCACTCCAAGCAAAGGCCCTGGGGCGGGAGGGGCAGGGATCCTGAAACAAGGGATGGAGAGGGAAGTGGAGTGCTGTGCTTCTCTTGGTGGTGGGGGGGGGGCAAGGAGCTACTAGGCCCTCAGGGTCCTGTGCACTTGAACGCCCCATCTGCCTGCTGGGCGGAGACAGGAGGTGAATTCGAGGGTGGGGCCAGGATGTCCGAGGCCTTGGCCAGGTGGCGTCCAGTGGACCAGCTTTCTCTGAGCCAGTCCCAACAGGTTTTCCCAGAGGTCAAGCCCCTTGGGGGTGTGGCCCACTTGGTGTCACTCATGCTTCTGCAGTTTGCAATGTTTATCCCATAGTAGTCTGGGGCTCTCCCTCCGGGTGGGCATGCACAGCCCCTCGCTGTGGGCCTTCAGGGGAAATCATCTGCGTGGGTTGGTCCTGACCGCGTGGTGGCTGCAGCTCTGAGAGCCTCCTAGGGCACTGTCCCAGCCTGGGGGTGGGGGGCTTGCTGGGGCCGGGGTCCAAGCTGGCGCTGCTCCGGCCTAGCAGGAGGGGGTGGGGCCGGGGGTGTGGCCCTGGCCAAGCCAGCGCCAATGGGCGGGCTCCCGCAGCCCTCCGAGCCGAGCCGACCAGCGCCGGGAGGGAGCGAGGGAGCGTAGCCCAGCCAGAGGCGAGCGGCTGGTGGCGCCATGGCATGCGCGGGGCTGCTCACCGTGTGCCTGCTCCGGCCGCCAGCCCCCCGGGCCCCGCGCCCACCGGAGCCCGCGCCGGACAATAGGCCCGCTGGACATGCTCTCTTCCAGGACGTGAGTGGGGTGCGGGCTGGCTCGCGGGGTCTCTGCCAGTGTGTGTGTGGCTCTCTGCGTCTGTCGGTGTCAGTGTCTCCCACTCCGGGTCCCTTGAGGCCGTGCCCCTGCACCCCTGCCTGTCTGCCCCTCTGTCCCTCTATTGTGTCCCCACTTCTGTCCCTGCTGCCCCCATCCCAGACCCACCCTGTCTCTCTGATGGGGGTGGGGGGGACTGCAGCCCCTGACGGCAGGAGCAGTCTTGATGCCAGCCCAGTGGTAGACCCCGGCTGGGCTGCCCCAAGCCAGGGGGCATGGACACAGGAGGAGCCCCTCGTGACCCAGTGTCCCCCCCCTCCCCACTGCGCGTCCCGCAGGCCTGAGGCCGGGGCAGCCGAGTCCTACAGTTGGTAGGGGCGCCCACGCATGTCCTGTGGCCTGGGTACCCCTCCTGTGGGGCAGCAGGTAGCCCTGCAGTCCCCCAGGCACCAGTGTGGAGCAGCCTGGCTGGGCTTCGGCTGCACTCTGTACCCTTGGGCTGAGTACCTCAACCCCCGCCTGCCCCCACTCCAGCACCCCTCTTTGGGAGAAGCCACACCCCTGCCCCCTCCCCACTGCCCCCAGTAGTGACTCAGCAGCTTGACCGAGTCCTCCTGGCTGGAAGGGACCTGCCTCTTCCCCCTTCCCAGATGGAAAAACTGAGGCCTGGGGGGGGGGTCTGTCCTGGGTCACCCGTGGAGGCAGGGACACCACAGGATGTGGCCCCAGATGCCCTCAAGGCCATCGTAACGCCCCTGCCCCCGAGTATCTCCGGCTTCCCCACCCAGGCCACACTGGGCTGCTGTGTGACCCTGACCAGGGACAGGCTTCCAAGAGGGTTCCTTCCTGAGCACCCAGCAGGAGGGGCTGGCATTCGGGAGCTGGAGCTGAGGCTCTTGTCCAGGCTTTGGCCTCCCCCTGCTTGCCCGGCCAGCAAGGGCTGCCTGCGGCGACCTGGGGTCTAGTCCCGGGACCTGTCTTGGTTCTGCTCTTTGCTGCTGGTGCTGTTCCTCTTCAACTCATTGATAAAATCCGCTCCCTTCCACCCTGCGCCCCCTTTGCATGAGTGCACACCCTCCTGTGCTCCTGCCTTTGCCTCAGACCCTCACAGCCACTTTCTAGGGAGGCGCACCCCTAAGGGGTGAACCCCAGGCTGCTCCCTCCATGGCTAGTGGGCCGCTTCCTGCGTGGCGGTCCTCAGTAAGCACAGGGAAACAGCCCGGAGAGGACAGAGACCATGGCCACACAGCAGAGCTAGGGATTCGAGTCTGGGACAGCTGCCCAGACTCCCTGAGCCGCATCTTGGCCATCTCCCCACACTCCCTCAAGCTGGGACGGTGCCATGGTCCAATGCATCAACTGGGACTTGGGCCAGCCTCTAGTTGTGGGAAGTGGATGTGCAGGAGCTGGCCCGGAGAACCCCCGCGGCCCCCGTGAAGCTGGGCCCTGCGGGGGAAGCGAGCAAGTGGTGTGACCTGCTGGGCGCTCTTCCTGTGCAGGCACAGCTCCTGCAGGGCTGAGCGGAGCAGGGGGCTGGGCCCAGGTTGGGCAGAGAAAAGACCAGGGGTGCAGCAAGGGGGCCCTCTTACCTCCCAGGCCCACTCACAGCTCCCACCCTGCCTTTGTCCTCCAGGTGTTCCGCAGAGCCGACAAGAACGGTGAGTCTGGCTTCCCCTGGGTCCCACCGTTGGGCAGGGTGGGGGGCTTCAGGCCCTGGGAGAGTTGGGGGTTTGTGGGAGCACAGTCTAGGATGGAGGCAAATCTGGGGAGGACCTGAAACGAGAGAGCCAATCAGCAGCCTCCCCAAGGAGGCGAGTGTGGTCTGGCCGTGCTGAAGGCCTGTGGGAGCGATGCTCATGCAGTGCCTGGCACAGTGACCTCGTGTTGTCCTCACAACCACCATCTGGTGGGAATTCTTCACCTCATGCCACAGAGGAGCAGAGGCTCAGAGAGGTAGAGCAGATGGCCTGACGCCACACAGCCTTAGGTTGGTGGGCCTTGAACCCAGGTCCGCGTGACACAGGGTTCCAGATTCCCCGTTTGAGGCACTTGGAAGGGTGGGAAAATGGAGACAAGGCTGTGGGGGACGTCACTCAGATGTCCGTTTCCACCTGACCCACATTCGGGCCCAGGGAAGGCCTGGAGGACCAAAGTCAGGTCTTCCTGTCCTGGGTCCGGGGCGGCTTCAGAAGCTGGCCTGAGAAAGCCTGGAAGCGAAAGCAGGGCCCCCCGGGGAGCCCCCACCGTGCCCGATGGGCCCGTGGAGGCTCGCACTCAGTCCCTCCACGGCGGAGTCCTGTCCCCACCCCTGTCCCTTCTCATGTCTCTTCACGCTGGGGCTGACCACTGTCCCAGACTGCACGGGGACGTCTGCTGAGAGACCAAACCCCCGGTGTCCTTGGCCGTCCCCTTGACCACTCAGCCTCTGCTGACGGAGCCCAGCTTCCCTGGCCGGCTGCTTCCGAAGAGGCCCCGACAGCCAGGAGGGTTCCCTGCGCCTCCCTGTGGCTTCTCCGTGAAGGTCCGGGGCCAGCCCGGATGGATGTGCACCGAGCCTCGGCCCCAAGTGGCGTGTGGGCCCTGCCGTGCTGTCCCAGCCCGTTCGGTTCTCCGTCTGGCGAGCCTTTGTGGCGTCCCTGCCCAGGGCTGCACAGGAACTGCCCTGCCCCTTGGGTTCCTGCAAAGTGGGCCTGTTCCCTTCAGAGGGTACCGTTGGGTGCAGCCCCCTTGTCCCCGGAGGGTCTGGGCCCTACTCAGAATCCTATCCCCGCTTAGGGGGCGGGGCCTGGGCCAGGAGGGCCTGACTCGCTCCCTGTGCCCTGCTCCCACCCTGGCCGCAGACGACGGGAAGCTCTCGTTTGAGGAATTCCAGAATTACTTTGCCGACGGGGTCCTCAGCGCGGGGGAGCTGCGGGAGCTCTTCAGTGGCATTGATGGGCGTCCTGCCGCGTGAGTGCGCGAGAGGGGGCTGAGCCGTGGGAGGACCGCGCCGTGGGAGGCCAAGCATCCCGACCCTGCCGCGTCCCCTCTGCCGCCGTTCCTGTTGGAGGATGCGGGCAGGGAGACGGGGAGGGGGGCGCCAGGGCTCCGTGCCAATATTACCCATGTTCCTCCCCCTCCCCAGCTCCAGTCTTGCCCACTACACTGCCTCCAGCTGGGACCCAAAATAGCCAGGCCTGAGTCACCACCCAGTGGCTCAGCCCCCCCTTCCCCCATCCTGCAGGGACCAGAGGATGCCTGGGGACAGCTGGGCCCTGCCTGCTTTCCTCCCCACCCCCAGGGCTGCAGGTGCATGTGCACGCACAGACCTCCCCACGGGTGCCCCCCCTGCACGCTCGGCACGAGCGCGCCCTCCTCCCGCGCTTCCTCATTCTGGTGCACAGCCAGGCACGGCTGTGCCTGCCTCACTTCCCTCCGTCTCCGTAGGATCAGTCCCAGGCTCTGGGCCGGCGTTCAAGCCTCCTGAGACTTGGGCTAAAGCCTTTACAGTGCTCCCCCTCCCTCACCCACCAGACTTCTCCATTAAATTTATCCCTCAAGGCCAGCACCTCCTCCAGGAAGCCCTCCCTGACCTACCAGGCAGTAACCTATGCCTTCCCAGGATGCCTTTCTTCCTGCCTGTCCTTCCCAGCTCTGACCACTCCTCTCTGGCCTAAGTTCACATCTGTCTCCTCTGGCCTGAGACCCCCTTGAAGCCCATAGCGGGTCTGTGCCTTTGTCCTCCCAGACCACTCGCTGGGGCCTAGTCCTCTGCCCACTGACCAGCTTGGCTGGGGTGGAGTGGAAGTCATGTCCTTGTCGGCTCAGTGGGGAGCTGGTAGGGCAGGGGATTGGCCCGAGTCTAGGGTCTGAAGGGCGCTTCTCTTTTCCTTGCAGCAACGTAGAAACGGAGAAACTGTGTGGTGAGTAGTCCTGTTGGGAGCTTTTGTGTCCAGGGGCCCCTGGCAACCGGGAGTGGCGAGGGCAGGTGTTCCGATGGGACAGCCTGGGCCAGGCTCAGGGGCCCAGGCCTGATTCCTGAGGGACCCCAGGCGGCCGCAGGGCAGGTTGGGCGGGTGGGTGGGAGGCTCAGGAAGGCCCTGAGCACTCCCTCCGCCCGCAGACTACTTCTCGGAACACCTGGGTGTCTACCGGCCTGTGCTGGCCGCGCTGGAGTCGCTCAACCGGGCCGTGCTCACCGCCATGGACACCACCAAGCTGGTGAGCAGAGGGGCTCCTGGCAGGGCGTGCAGAGTGAGGCGGGCGTGGCCGCTGCGCCGTGGCTGGGGCTGGGGAGCTGGAAGCCCGCGTTCCGAGGCTGGCTCTCTCCCCCCTCACTCTGGGCCTCGGTTTTCTCATGTGAACCAGAGGCAGTAGCAGAGCCTGCCACCGCGCATGCGTCGTGTTGGTCCCAGCAGCCAACGGCAGGGTTTTTGTTTTATTCTCTGCCCTGCTCCCAGCACCCAGGCCAGCGCCTGGCACACAGCAGGCTTCAGGGCGGGAGCTGCATGGGTGTGTGTGTGTGTGTGTGTGTGTGTGTGCAGTACTCACACGTGTCTGTAGGTGGCGCCCGCCGCAGCACGGGAGGAGGCAGCCGCGCTCCGTTCGTGCCCACATGTGTGTGCCTGTGTGGTTCCAGGCCCTTGTGTGGTGGCTTCAATAAGTCAACTGCCTTTGATGGTTCCTTTTAAGAAATAGCTCCACCCCCACTTACCCCACAGCTCCTACAAGGAGGGGAGCAGTGGGGAGGCCCAGGACTGTGCTCCATCCCACTTTTTATGGAAGGGGAAACTGAGGTTCTCAGTGGAATCACTGGGCAGGGGCAGGGCTTGTCCTAGCTGCGTGCAGGCGAGATCTAGTCCCCACCAAAGGTCTGCTTCCAAGGGGCCTGGCAGCGTGGCCACATGGTGGGGATGAGGGACACCAAGTGGGGGCATGCCTGCCTTGTTGCCGTGGAAATGGGGCTCCAGGGGTTTGGCTGGACTGGCGTTCCAGGACCTGGAAGTGGTTGCCGGAGACAACTGCTGGTGCTGCTGAGTGGGGGCGTGGCCTGTCCCCAAAGAGGACCCTGCCGGCTCCAAACGCTTGCCCATTCTTTTATCGGGTGCTCCAGGGGTGAGGCGCTGCGGCACCCGCCCGGCCCAGCGCCTGCAGCACCCCCTCCAGTCCAGACTCAGTCAAAGACTTCGTGCACCAGCCTGGGGCCACACTCCTGGTACATGGCCCGGGTCATCCAGCGGCGTCGGAACGAGTGCAGGGAGGCCACCATGGAGCCGCCTGTCCACACCGCGGTGCCCCGGCCAGGCCTGGCCACCAGGCGGGGCCTCAGGGCTGCGTAGCCGTGTCGCCGGGCACTGCGCCTCCAGCTCCGCGTCCAGGCGCTCGGGGAAGCCAGGGAACAGCGTGGAGCCGCCAGCCAGGACCACCGTGCGGGCCAGCTGCGTGCGCAGCGTGGCCGGCACCTTCTGCAGGGCCCGGAAGGTCAGCGTGGGCAGCCCCGGCGCCGTCTGGCCCAGCAGGCATGGCTGGAAGATGGGCTCGGGGCAGCGGAAGCGCTCGCTGCCCAGGCTGAGGGAGCGCCCGTCGCCCACGCAGACGCTGGCCGGCCGCTGGCGGCCCGGGTCCCGGAGGTCAGCCTCGAAGTCCAGCGACACGTAGCAGCAGCGCTTCTTGAGCTGTGTGACCGCCTTGCGGGGCAGCGCCCCCGGCTGCAGGTTGGGGCTGGCCGCCACCAGCATGTCCCGCAGGTAGCGCGACAGCGTGCTGCCCGCCACGTCCAGCCGGAAGGTGGCCTCGTGCCACGAGTGGCCCGCGTAGATGGGCGTGGCGTGGCACACGCCCGCGCCCGCCTCCACCGCCAGCCCGCTGAGCGCGCCGGCCGAGCAGAGCGCCAGCAGCGCCGTGCTGGCCACGTGGCACGCGGGCACCGCCAGGGCCTCGAACAGCAGCTCGGCCGCCCTCTCGCGGCCCGCGGGCGGCGCCGACGGCGACTCGCTCACCAGCACGGGCCACTGCTCGGGGCACACGCGCAGTCTGCCCACCAGCAGGCGCTCCCACAGCCCCTCCAGCGCCTCCCAGTCCACGACCACGCCGTGCTTGATGGGGTGCGCGCGCGCCACCCCGCCGGCCAGCTCGCAGCCCGGCGCGCCAGGGCGCACCGGCCGGTCCCAGCTGGGCACCAGGCTGGAGCTCTTGAGCACGACGCGCGGGTGGCCCTCGCCCGCGAAGCCCGCCTTGGTGAAGCCCGAGCCGTGATCCACCACCACGGCTATGCGGCCGGGCGAGGGCGGCCGGCGGGCCCCGCGGCTCCTGGACGCCTGTGTCATCTTCGAGGCTCGGCCGTGCTCTTCGGCCTGGGGCCCTGCTCCCCGGAGGCCCCGCCTTTCACCGCCTGGCTCCGCCTCCCGAGCCCAAGTCCAAGTCCCGCCTCTTCTGGGCCGGCTCAGCCGTGGGCCCCGCCCCAGCGCCGCGCGCCGCTGCTTCCTGGGCTCCTCGCCGGCCGTGAGACCTGGCTCGCGTGGAAGGCGACAGGGCCCGCCGAATCCGTTCAGAGGCTGAGACACCGCCAGGAGGGCCGGAGCTGCGGCAGCGGGAGGGCCTGTGGCCAGGCCGTCCGGACGTGATTCTCGCCCTGGGGACCCAGCAGCCTCGTTCCGCTCGCCTGGACTTGGAGGATGAAGGTCCTGGTCCCGCGCTCGAGGAGGGATGGGAGAAGGAAGAACGTGGATTGGACGCATTGTGACCTCAGTCCTCGGCCCCTCCCCACGGAAGCTCCCGGCACCCTTCCTCTCCCGGCAGCTGTGTGGGCAAAGGGGGGTCCCACACAAACAGGCTGGTTCCTTCCCAAAGCGCTCTGCATTGTCCAGTGGGCCCTGCACCTTCGAGGCCTTCGACTCCCTGTGCAGCCCCAAGCAGTCCTCTCCCTCTGAGCTGTCTTCCTCCATCCCCTTGCACAAGGAGGAGGCCGCGTCTCGTGTCTGTGGGCGCACACTTTTTGGGACCACTTTGGTGGCCATTAGGAGGATGTAAGCTAAAGTGTGGGGTTTTTATTTATCTTTTAAAGATTAATTACTAGAAAGAGAGAGGCCTTCAAACCTACTGGTTCACTCCCCAAATGGCCGCAATGGCCAGGGCTGCGCTGATCCGAAGCCAGGAGCCTCCTCTGGGTCTCCCACACGGGTTCAGGGGCCCGAGAACTTGGGCCATCTTGTACTGCTTTCCCGGGCCACAGCAGAGAGCTGGACTGGAAGTGGAGCAGCCGGGACTCGAACCAGTGCCCATATGGGATGTTGGCACTGCAGGCGCCAGCCCCTGAAGTGTGGGTTTTATTGCAAGGCTCTGTATTGGACACCAAAGGCAAGGGCACAGTCAGGTGTCAGGAGCTAGGTCTGATCACAAGGCTGTGGGGAGCCAGGAGGTGCCCTGGCGATGCAGTGCAGCCCCAGGGAGGGCACTGGCGGGACTTACTTGGGCCGGTCCCGGGAGGCTCATTGCACGAGGAACCTGGGGGAGGTGAGAAGGCACAGTTCTGAGAATCCGCGGGTCAGGCCCCCGGACAAGGGCAGTGGATCGCATTGTGGGTGACACAGGCGTGCCTTCTGTAGGTTCTGAGGGGGCCGTGTGAAGCTGGTCACCAGTGGGGGGCTGGGGAGGAACCACTGGATCTTGCCCCCAGGAACTGTGCCAGGCGCCTCTCGAATGACTTAGCGAGCATCACCCTGGAGGCCGCGTGTGGCCATAGCCACCTGGAGGCCCAAGGGGGAGGAGTGAGGCTGGGCCTGCAGAGCGCCCTGGGCACTTCCTTGGGAGGGGGCAGCAGCGTGGGGCTCTAGAGCAGGGAGTGTGCTGCCCCGGACGGACGCGGGCAGGGCCGGAGGGGGCGAGGCCCAGGGGCGCCAACTCTCCTGGGCGAGCTCTAGACCCTGACCCTCCCCGCTTCCCCGGGATGGTGTCTGTTGGCTGGGGCCCTCCCTCTGCCTGCGCCGGGTGTCTTTGTTGTGGGCTTGCCCTGCCCGCCACCCTTGGGCCTGCAGCCCTGGCGCGGTAGCTTTGCCCGGCGCCCACCCCTCTCCGGCAGAGCTGGCAGCGGCCGCGTTGCTCTGAGCTCTTTATTGGGCCGGGTCTCTGGGCAGGGGGCTGCGCCGGCGGCTCAGGGCCGTGGGCGAGGGCAGCGGCGCCGCTTGCGTGGCCGTTCCTCGCCGGGCGCCGCGCTGGAGGCGGGCGGGCTGGCGTCGGGCCGCGGCCCGCTGCCGGGGGCCTTGGGCCCGCCCGCCGCGCGGCGCCCGTCTTCGCGCAGCCTTGCGTCCAGCAGTAGCAGCACCACCAGGATTTTTTTCATCTCTCTCTCGCGTGTGCCTTCGCGCCGCTCGGTGCCGTCGCCCGCTCCCCGCAGCATGGGCGCCGCCGCGGGGAAGCCCACCGAGCCGCGCGGCACGTCTTCCCCGGGCTGCGCTCCTGGGCCCGCGGCCGCCGCCTCGGCTCTCTGCTGCCGCTTGTCCAAGTGGAGAAGCAGCAGGATCTTGGCCTGGGGGAGGGGCAGGGCATGAGGGGAAGCACCCTGTACGGCTGCGCCCGCCTCCCGGGGACCCTCAACCACCTGGTCTTATCTCCCAGGACCTGTCTTCCCTGGCGGAAGTGGGTGGGGGTCCACCCTTCCCTGCTTGGCGCCAGGGACCCTCACCCAACCTGCCCACCGCGGCAGACCCCGGCCCAGCCCCGCTGGCTTACTGAGAGCCCACCCTCCCAGCCTTCACCTACCCCTCCTGGTCCTGGGCCTCTGCTCCTTTGAGGAGGGGGGAAGGGCTGGGGCGGTAGGGGGTTCCCCGTGCTACAGCCCCCAGTAGCTGGCAACCAGGGCTGACTCCCTGGCTGGCCTGAGGCACATCTGCCCAGGGTTGGAAGCCTGGGCACCTTCTGGCTCCCCGAATCCCTGGCCTGCTCCTGGGCCCAGTGCCCACCCCCCAGCACTCACACCCGGTTTCTTGCCCTTGAGGTGGCTGAAGAACTGTTTCCTCCCGGCCTCGTCCGCGTCAGGCGGGATCTCCTCGCAGGCCTGCGTGGGCGCTTTGGCCCGCTTCTGGGAACTGCTGTTTCCCATGGCAGTGCTGGTCACCACTGGGGGCCACGGCCCAGGCCACCTCTGCCCTGCCCGCCGGGGACCCTGGCCTAGCCTTGGCCTGGAGGCCACATTGTGACCTCATGGTTGACCTCACCACTCCAGGCACCCACTGGCAAGTCTGGGTTCTGTTTACTCTGTGACTTCTGGCCTTGGTTTCTCATCAAAGCTGGACTTGGGATCGCAGACGAGGGCCTCGGTGGGGAGTAGAGAGGAAATTCTGTGGTGTGGGCCTGGCTTCTGGCCTCCACTGACCCAAGTCTTCTCATCTGTGGAATGGGCTCAGCCGTGCTTCCTGGAAGTTGCTGCAAGGGTTAAGGGCAATTTCGTGTAGCAGTGCCTGGCGCACAGCGGGTGCTTGTGTCAGCTGGGCATTTTGGTTGCAACTAGGGGAAACCCGTCAGCCATTTTAAGAACCAAAAAGGGAACGTATGAGAGGACCTCCCGGGGACACATGCTACTGGCCTGTCGCAGCAGGGAGGCCCCAGCCCTCTCCGTCCCTGTCTTCCACCGGAAGCCTGGCCCAGGAGCTTCCCACCTGGTGCCTGAGCCGAGGCAAGTCGTGTGCCGGCCCAGGTTGCCTGTGCCAGTGGGCAGGGTCCTTGTTGGTGTCATTTCTGACAGCAGTGACGACAGCTCTAAGGGGTGGAGGACTTGTGTGCCAGGTGCTGGGCTGAGCCCCAAGTAGGACGTCCCTGACGCAGCCACTCAACGGCTCCGTGTCATGAGTGTTAACGTTCTTATAGATGGGGAAACTGAGGCACACGGAAGTGAAGGTAGCGCGGGAGTTTCTGAGAGTCCTGAGGTGGTCAGCTCCCTGACCTCTGCCCACCTTGGGGGGTGAGCGGTAATTCTTGTTGGGGCCAATGCTGGTGTGATGTGTGTGTGTGGGCAGCAGTCCTGGGTCTTGTAGCTGCGGCTCCTAGTACAAAGTTTATTGCATGGATGAATGAACAAGGATGTAGGTTCTGAGTCTGGGACCAGCTGGTAGGTGTGGGGTCACATGACACCGTGTGCCACACCCTGCCCTCGGATGGCCTGTGCGCACTGCCCTCCGCCCCACCCAGCCTAGCTGTGCGGGGGGCTCACTGGCCATAGCAATCCTGAAGGCGGTAGCCCCAGTGGGGAAGGGGCCTCGTGGTCCAGAAAGCCAGCTGGCCAGCGGCCTCTTGAGAGCCGGCCTCACACCTGCGAGCAAGGAAGGTCGCGGTGCCCGCTTGTGCCAGGTCTGCCTGCCCCCGTGCTCTGACGGCCACGAGGGAGCGAGCAGGAGGGCGGCTCCCCGCCCAGGCTGGGCGATGCCACAGCCCCTGTGCCCCGCAGGAGTACGAGCAGGCCTCCAAAGTGGACCAGTTCGTGACGCGCTTCCTGCTGCGAGAGACGGCGAGCCAGCTGCAGGCCCTGCAGAGCTCCCTGGAGGGGGCATCCGACACGCTGGAGGCCCAGGCCCGCGACCTGCGGTACGTGAGGGCCCTGCCAGCCCGGGTCCCACGCAGGAGTGCCTGCTGTCCCCACACTGCAGTGCCCTAGGCTTTCCCAAGCGGATGAAGCAAGCATGATTTTTTATTATTTATTTGAAAGGCACGGGGCAGAGACAGAGAACCTGCTTGTTCACTCTCCCAGTGGCCGAAGTGACGGGCTGGGCCAGGCCGAAGCCAGGCGCTTCTGCTGGGTCCCCCGTGTGGGTGTCAGAGAGCCCAAGGACTTGGGCCATCTCCCACTGCATCCCTAGGTGCAAAACCAGGGAGCTGGATTGGAAGTGGAGCAGCCTGGACTTGAACCGGTGCCCACATGGGATCGTGGCACTTTGCCACAATGCCGGCCCCTGAACTCCAGCATCTTGGAACTCACCTTCGTGGGCAGGGAGACCCTGAGGGACCGAGGGTGGCGGGCTCTGGGGCTGGGTGGTGGGGAGGTGGGCTGAGCCACCCCTTCCCTAGGTCAGATGAAGAGAGTGCTGAAGTGCAGAGCAGGCCCCGCGGCAGCCGGCGGGCAGGGCGCAGGGCCCTGAGAATTGTCCCTCGGTCGCCTACCTGGTCTCCTGGCTGCTCGGACACAGGTGTGCCTGCGGCGGGGTGGGTGTGGCATCCCCTGCACCCCAGGGCCTGCTCCTCCTGTTGGGCCGAGGGGGCTCCCGGCCCAACAGGCCCACGCCTGACCCCGCCGGGTTCCTCAGGACGCAGCTCGGAGGCCGAGTCGCAGTGGCGGCTCCAGGTCAGCCGTCTCCAGGAGCTCATCGATCAGCTTGAGTGCAAGGTGAGTGCTGTGCGACCGCTCCCAGGCCAGGCATGCGGGGGGGGGGGGGGCAGGGCAGGGGGGGCGGCCCGGCCTGGCCCACACTCGGTGTCTTTCACAGGCCCCCCGGCTGGAACCCCTGCAGGAAGAGGACCTGGCCAAGGGGCCTGGCCCGGTGAGGCAGGTGGCTGGGTGTCAGGGACGGGGGTGGGGTGGGGTGGGGGGGCTCCAAGGGCCCCCTGCAGTGCATGCCTGCCTCTCCCCCGTCCCGCTCCCCGCCTGGCTGGTGTTGGGTTTTGGGGTCACTGCCCCTCTGAGCCTCCATTCCCCATCTGTGTTGCTCAAAATCAGGTCTGGGCCAGTACAGATGGAAGCTGGTGGGGACAAACCACAGAAGAGGGGGACGATGGCTGGATCGTGGCAGCCACTTTAGAGATGGGGCGAGGAGGATGGAGTCAGAGATGTTGGGGGCCAGGTGGCGGCGGGAAGGGTGGGGTGCTCCTGCAGGCCGCACCTAGCCCCTCACCCTGCGCTGCGCCCGCTAACTGGAGCCTCTCTTGCCAGCACATCCTGGTGGCCCAGAGGCAGGTGCAGGTGGCAGAGGAGGCCCTGAAGGACTTCCACCGGGCCCTGTGCTGCTACATGGACTTCACGGGGGCCCAGAGCCGTTGTCTGCAGTGAGTGCCCAGCTGGCTGGTGGTGAGGGGGGCGCAGAGAAGGGGCTGGCGCTGGGCGTCCCGGGCTGGGGGCAGCACCACAGCAGCCCCGGGCCGGCCCGGCCATCTCTCTGGCCCTGCAGTGTGTCCGCCCAGAAGATGCTGGAGCAGGCCTCCTTCACCCTGTATGAGTTCTGGCAGGACGAGGCCTCCTGGAGAAGGTACGAGACGCCCACCAGGCAGCACGCCGCGAGCACGGGCCCTGCGGGGAACCCGGCCGCCCTCACTGCCTGCTCTCCCAGGGGCCAGGCGAGGTGCTGGGGTCCAGCACTCAGTCCTGCTGTCTCGTGCCACACCTGACGCCTCACTGTACCCCAGTGCAGTGGACACTGATGTACCCCTTTCTCATGGGAGAAATGGGCTCAGAGCCGGCGCGAGGAAGGCCCTGGGGTGGGAGTCCAGGGGCGGGGCGGGGCGGGAGGGGCCTGAGCCGGGGCTTCGGGCTCAGCCGGCTTCCCCGGGCGCCCTCCCCAGGCACCAGCAGGCCCCCTGCAGCAAGGCCTTCCAGCGCATCCTCATCGACCACCTGCGGGCTCCAGACACCCTCACCACCGTGTCCTTCCCAGGTGTGCTGCAGCCCCAGTGCCCGCCGCAGCCCGGGGCCCCGGAGGGCAGTGGGCCTGAGATGGCTGACGCCCACCTCCTGTCCTGCAGCCTCCTGGTGGGTCATGAATAACAACTGAACCCGACCTGCAAAAGCCAAGGGCCCTGCCTGCCTCCCCGGGAGCTTCTGAACGGGTCAACTCGGCACCCAGCCCGGGCCCGGCCAGCTGCTGGAGGCCTGAGCCCAGGGACCAGGGACCGGGCTGCTTGCTTCCTTTCTCCATCCGCGGATTCTGTTTGTAGCTTCGGCCTCCAGGGCACGCTGACTTGCACCCGGCTCAGGAGGCGTGGACTCTGGTCCCTCTGCCCCTGCCTTGCTGTGTGACCCAGGGCAGTCCCTTCCCACTTGGGCTGCCTAGCGGGTGTCCTGTTTCCTTCCTGCTGTCTTGGGACCAGGCTTCTGCTCTTCCCCAAGCAGCAGCAGAACCAGGGCTGATGCTCAGGGAACCCCGACCCCTGGAACCTCGTGCCCTGAGGCCGGGCCGGATCGGTCTGCAGCGTGGGGTAAGGACCTGGGCGTGCCCACCACCCTCCTGGGCTGGCTCCAGACTCTTCCAGCACCCATGCCTGCACCAGGCACCTGAGGAGGATCCTGGGTTGGTTTGCATGTCATCTGCATATCATCTGCATGTTCTCACCCCGTCCATTCTCAGGGCACTAGGGGAAGCCCCAAGGTGACCTTGTCAAGTAGCAATAATTTGGGCCCAGAGATGCCTGCTGCCCACAGAGACCTCTGAACCCTGGCCTGGACTCCAACTCAGAGGCAATAAAGGCAGTGGTCACCTCTGCGTCGCGTCCTCTTCCTGGGCAGGGCCGGAAGCTTTTCTTGAGCAATCAGCGACTCCCGTCTCGAGCCCCCATGCCGGCAGGGTGGTGGCCGGCGTAGCGAGGGCAGCCTCGTGGTGACACGGTCTCCCAGGCCTGCCAGAGGTCTGAGCTTCACCACACACTCGGCCTCCTCCGGGTCCTGGACACTGGGCAGAGTCCTGTCCCCTCACCCAACCTCCTGAGAACAACGGCCGAGTCAGGTGTAGCGGGGGAAGGGACCTACCAGGCACCTCCACAGGTAGTGCCGAGCTGTGTGCCTCCATGGAAGCACAGGTGGCACCAAGCCTGGGCTGGGGTGCAGGGTCAGCAAGTTTCCAGGCGCTGAAGGGGAGGAGAGCTTGCCCTGTGGACAGGGGGAGGCCGACGGGGCGGCTGAGGCCAGGGTACGGTGAGAGGGAGTTGGGGTGAAGCTGGGGACGTAGGGCCCTGAAGGGTGACTGGCAGTGGGCTGGGCAGTAAGTGCCCTGGTGGTAGGCCTCCAGCAGGGTCTTATTTCTTAATTGTTTGAAAGGCAGAGAGCACCCTACAACTGGGCTGGGCCAGGTCAAGGCCAGGAGCTGGAAATTCCATCCAGGTCCCTCACGGAGTGTCAGGGTGCACATTGGCACAAGGCTGGGATCGGGAGCAGAGCCAGGGGCTGGTACTGTGGTGTACTGGGTAAAGATGCCACCTGAACTGCCAACCTCCCATGTTCTGAGTCCCGGGCCCCTGCACCCACATGGGAGACATGGATGAAGCTCATGGCTCCTGGCTTGACTTGCCATTTGGGGAGTAAACCAGCGGATGGAAGACCTCTCTCTCTCTAAACTGCCTTTCAAAGAGCGGGGGGGGGGGGGGGCTGGTGCTGTGGTGTAGTGGGCCAAGCCTCCACCTGCAGCGGCGGCATCCCATGTGGGCCCCAGTTCATGTCCCAGCTGCTCCTCTTCCAATCCAGCTCTTGGCTATGACCTGGGAAAGCATTAGAAGATGGCCCAAATGCCTGGGCCCCTGCACCTATGTGAGACCTGGAAGAAGCTCCTGGCTTCGGACTGGCCCAGCTCTGGCCATTGCAGCCATCTGGGGAGTGAACCAATGGATGGAAGACCTCTCTGTCTCTCCCTCTCCCTGCCTGTAATTCCAACTCTCCTACCTCTCGAGTAAATAAATCTTAGCAAAAAAAAAAAAAAAAAAAAAAAAGGCAAAGCAGAGCTGGGGCTTGAGCCTATGCACTCAGATGTGGGATGTTTTCCACCCCTCCTTTCATGTGAGAGCCAGAGACTGGAGTCAGAGAGACACAGACAGAAAGCCCCCATCCTCTGGGTCACTCCCTAAATGCTTACGACAGCTGAGGCTGGGCCAGACTAAAAGCCAGGAGCCGGGAACTTGCGCCATCATCCACTGCCTCCCAGGCCGCACGGTCAGGAAGCTGGATGGGAAGTGCAGCAGCTGGGATTGGCACTGACGCTGTAGCCCCAGCCCCAGCCCCAGCCCCAGCCCCAGCCCCAGCCCCCAGCGCTCCCCACTCTACACAAAGATGCTGGCACTCCTCGCGCTCAGTGCGAGGTGCCTGGCGGGCTCACCTGCTCCGTCCCTTGCCGGGCTTGGGGCTGCTGGGAAGATGCTGCGGGGGTGGGGGGCAGTCCGTCCTGCAGGGCCTCCTGGAGAGAGATCTGGTGTGAGCTCTCCAGGCAGACACGATTGTGGGGGGCAGGCGGGGTCCACAAGGGCACAACTGAGGAGTGTGGGGACACAGAGGGTGTCCCCAAGCCGGTGCCACGTGCCCATCTCCTCTCAGGAGCCCCACCCTGGGCTGACCCCAGTCCCCAGGTACCAGCCCCCTCTCACCCGCAACAGCAGCAGCTTCCCCGGGGTTCTCATCTGCACTCTGACCCCCTCCCACCCACTCTAACAATGCTGTCACGGCGACCACTAACCACACCTTTCACTGGCACCCACTCTTCAGCTCCAAGTTGCACTCGCATTAACAATGAGTGCCACCACCTACCTGTGCAGCCCCTCCCTGGCCCGTCCACTACTGAAGCCCCTCTCAGCCCTCCAGGGGTGGTCTGGCAGCCTCTCCCAATCCCTGCCCTGGGTCATTCTTCAACTGTCACCAAGCACCTGTTTGGTGGCAGGTGCTGGGGATGAAGAAAACATCCCAGGCTGCTGACAGCACCCAGGTCAAGTGCAGAGTCCAGAAGCCAAAGAGCTCCAAGCTCCTTGGCCAGCTGCCGCGCCGACCCTTTCACCTACTCCCTGCACCTGCCTCCTCACACCTGCACCCGTGACTCACCTGCACACTCAAGCCTGTCCTGGGGGCCTGGCTCAGTGCCAGGCAGGTGCTGGGGAGAGCAGCAGGCTGAATGGAGGCCAAATATGCACACTGGGCCCCCTGGCCCAGCCACTGCGAAGGCGAGATGAAAGGACTGAGAGCTAAGTGTGTCTTTGGGACTTCCTCAGAAGAGCCCACTTGAGCAAGACCGTAGGCCCACAAAGGAGGGAGTCCTCAGTGACTTGCAGATGGACAGATGGCCAGAGCAATGCTAGGATGGCAGATCAGGCTGCACAAGGTGGAGCTCACTTGGGAGGCTCCCCAGAAGCCCCGGGAGAACGCTCGGGGCAGAGAAAGACGGTGCACCAGGGGAAGGCCACAGCAGCAGGCCCCGCTCCGTCCACAAGAGGGCGCTAGCACCAGGCAGTGACACTGACCCAGGCTTGGCGGGCTGTCTGGGTTTCCCCAATCTCCTGAGGGATGAACGCTGGGAGCATCAGTCCCCTTGAAACACCAGGGTGGAGACAAGCCTGATCATTTATTTCCCCTTCTGAGACACCCATCGATGGCTTCACCTGCACCCTCCCTCTGCCAACCTCCCAGAAGGAATGGCCCTTTCCCACTTTCCAGCTTTCGTTGTGACAAGGAGTCCCAGCAACACGTGTCATCTTTAGATGACTAATGGCGCCCTGAGCATTCCAGTGACTGTTTTCATTTTTGCCTTGCCACGCCCCGGCTCTGCCAGTTGCTTCCTCCTCCAGCACTTCCCTCCGAGGTCCCCCATGCCTGGAGCCCCCATCAGCTGATTTCTGTTCCTGCTAACCCGGCTCACCGTGGCCTGTGCCTGGAATGCTCTTTCCCAGACAGCTCATCCTAAGGTGGATACTGCCGCATGGGAAGCCGGGAGCGCCTGAGCGTATTCTCCCAGACCCCGGGAGCTGCTACAAGCCCGGCATGATCTTCACCTCTGAGCCCCGAGGGCGAGCAGACCTAAGGCCAGTCTCTGGCAATTCCTTTTCTCAAGCAGGGGCGCAGAGGGCCCCAGCTCAGACAGGTGGGTTCTACCAGGCCAAAGCCCTGCGCCTGCGGGGAGGGAGCCCCGGGGGTTCGCCCACTCGCCTCTGGATTCCAACTCCAAGTTCCTGGGATTCCTCTGCAGGTTTCCTCCTCGGTACCCAGCTACTTCTGTGGTTTCAGCTTCGTTTTTCCTGGCCCTCAGGGAGTTCCTGTGTGTCCTCTGTGACCTCAGCACTGCAGCTCCAACATTCATTACAATTTAGCTGGCACCTGAGAGCTGTGCGGTGCCGCTTCTGCGCCGCGGTGCTGTCGGGCTGGCTCAGCGGGGCGGGCGGACTGAGGCCTGCATCCAGCGGCAGACGGAGGCCCTCCTTGTCTTCCAGGGCCAGGGCACAGGTCAGCCCTGCTCCCTACTCCACACCTGAGCCAGGCCTCTCTCGCCTTCTAGGGGCCTGGGAAGCTGGGGGTCCCAACAGGTCTCTGAGGCAGGGCTGCTCCAGGCAGAGCCCACGATGGTGCAGGTAACAGGAGTGAGGCCTCAGCCCCAGGAGCCAGCCCGTCACAGATGGCTGCGACTCCACACGGGTGCACACCCGTGTCTGCACCCACGACAAGGCCATGGACAGCACTCCCAGAGGCTGCTGGGGGCTACTGGGAAAGCAATGTGGACATGGTGCCAGGGTGCCGGAAGTGTTCAGCAACAGAAACCCCACTTTGGAAAGTTCACCGCAGACGCTGACTTCCTAAGTCATGCCGTGACTGCCCAACAGGAGGCGAGTTCAGAAAACCATCCAGCCATTATGCAAATAAGGCAGCAGGGACAGCACTCAGGAGTTAACATCAGTGTAAAATGGACACGCAGCTAGAGTTCTGGCTGTTGCTGGTGCTCGAGCACAGGCCCCAGGGTGGGCACGAGCGGCGGGGCAGAGGCCCGGCTCCAGGCCCCAGCAGCTTCCTGTGCCCAGAATCGCCGCCGTCACAGCAGCCCCAGGCCACGAGCACCGCTGTGGGCACGAGGAAGGGACACAGGTGGCCAGCCGGCATGCGGCGTGTGTGCCCCCGCCCAGCCCAGCCCAGCAGAGGCAGAAAAGGAATATAGCCTTTTATTGACTACTTTAAGTAGAACAAACTAAATACATATTTAACAGTTTTGGTTCGTTTATACAGTACATTAAATAAGTTATGCAGAGAGCTGAGTAACGAAAGTTCTATCAGAGTAAAATGACAAAGCACAGAAAACCCAGACGGCCGCGTCCTGCAGGGCTGGACACCCCCCGCCACTTCGCAGACCGCGTGGAGGCCTCCCTCTAGGTCCATTGTAGGCTTTCTTCAGGGCAGCCGGAAAGCCCGGGAAGTGGACCGGACGCCTCTTAGCCAAGCAGCTCTGCCAGCTGCTTGTCTGCCAACTCCAAGGCAGGGACAGGGCTGTCCCTAGCAGACACCAGCCACACATGCCCTATTTGGTATAAGCATCAGCGAGTATCCACTGGGCAGCCGTAGGCCTGACCAGATGGGGTGTGCAGGAGCCAAGGACGACGACGCGGGGGACACGAGGCCCGCCCTCGGGCCTCCCCACCCCCACCCCCGGCCGAGATGGAAAGGTCACTGCACTGGTGTCTTTGGAAATGCGCACGTCCACGCGTGTGGGCAGAGGCAGGAGGGGACGTTTTGGTTTCTCGAGGACAGACACCCAGGGGTGGAAGGCCCCCCCTGAGCAGCTCGGCCAGGCCCCAGGCCAAGGCGGGCAGCTCTCCTTCCTGCCAGCCGCCATCTGGCCCTTGTCAGAATAGCCCAGGTCCTTCTGGCTTTCCTCACATTTGGTTCAAGCATGCCACCACCTGGTTCTCTGCAAACAGCTAAAAATCATCGAAGAAAGTTGGCGGTGGTTACTGACCCGGAGCCCAGCTGGGAACCTTGGTTCTACTCCAGTTCTGAAGAAAGCCTCTGAGAGGTGTCCTATTTTCAATGGTTTCTCCAACCCATAATCCTTTCCGCGGACTCCAGGACAAGTGGCCAACTGGCCATTTTCCCGGCGTTCGTTCTGAAACACTCGCCACCGCCGCACGATGCCAGAGCGGCTGCTGCTGACGCCTCACAGAGCTACTGGGGGCCACGTCAATGCTGGGACAGCGTGGGACAAAACGTACACAGTCTGTTTGTAAGCATCTGGCCCAGATGGGCAAAGACGTCCACCTGTGCAGGGCGGCGCGGGCCTGTGCTGGGTGGATGTGTCCTGTTTCTGGACCTACAGCCTGGGGGACAGCGACAGCTTGGCTCGGAATGGTCCAAGAACAGACCCCCACCCCACCCTGTGCATCACCTGACCATCTGCTGGAGCGTCGGCCGCAGAGCTGGGGCCACTGTTGGGGAGCAGGTGCAGGCACGCAGGAAAACAGAGGACGAGCGAAGACAGCTCCCGCGTTGGCCACCTTTGATTCCTGCCGTCACCCCTCACTTGGGAGAAGACTGGAGGGTCCCGGCAGGCGGCGGTGAGCCCAGCATCGTGTGCAGACATGGCAGCAGGCGGGCAGTCAGGTTTGCTTTTGGGTTCCAGACCAACGTCAGGAAGCCTGCGACTGACCTGACACTCCCTGGACCACGAGGCAGCCTTTGCCTTTCCTGTCCACCAAACACTAACTGGAGAGGCTGGGCCTCGGGGCAGAGGGGGAGCCCGAGTGTCCATTTCCAACCCGGAACCTAGGGTGGCGTCAGCAGGAACCAAATATCGAGCAGGGAACCTGGACTCCCTCTTGACCCCCTAGCTAACGGGGGAAAGGATTCTTAAATCAGAAGAGGAAGTCTTGGACAGACGGCCTGTGATGTCTATGTGAACTCTGGCAGAATCAACCCAGCAAAGGCTCTGAGAGCAGAATCATGGTGCGGACCAGCACCCTGCTGTGTAGACTGGCACGAAACCGTGCTGGAATGGCTGCCCAGGCAAGCGCCAGACCTGCACGCTGCACGCAGACCGCAGCTGCAGAAGCTGACCTTGGGCTCTGGTACCGACTGCTGGGTTGTGTCTGGCGCTTTATTCCATCCATTAAAGCCTGAGCTCCCCCGGCTGTCTTGTGGCTACTCAAGACGGAAAACCTGCGTAGGTTAAGTCTAGGCTGAGAGCAGAGCCCCTGTAAGCCACCCTCTCACTGTACCAACGCGGGGCTCCACAAGATGTCTGGGAGACACCCCGCGTCTTAGGGCAACGTGGGTGGGCCCCACTGCGGGGCTGACTCCGCCCTGTTCGTCAGGCTGCCTCATCAACTGCTGGAGTTCACCCGGAGTCCACGTGCCCCGCTGCGAAGGAACACACTGTTATTTTGCTGTTCTCTCTCTGGGGATAGCTTACTTTATATGCAATGAAATTTTGAAACCTAGGTATTCTGAAGGTTCTTGTTCCAAGTTTCTTTCTAAGACTGAAAATCCTTGTTGAGAAGTCACCATGAGTGCGGAGCTGGCGGCTCGCGGGCAGAGGGGTGCTGGGCCCTTGGGCTCTGGGCCCTGAGACTCTGAAGGGGAACAGATAGGAGGCATCCTGTTTGTCAGACAGCCAGGTAAGCAGCTGGGACACTCCTTGAAGACAGGAAGAAGAACTGATCAGGCTTTCCAGTAATGGCTCTCGTGTTTCACAAAACCTTTCTGAGTTCAAAGAGGGGAGGAACCCAACAGGTAACGTAAGAGAAGGAAGCTGAGACTGCTTGCCTGGTAATAAGCCATTGCAGTAGGTCTAATGACACGGAAATGTGAGGCCTGAAGGAATCTTTCAGGTGCGGTAGGGCCATGTAGATGAGACTGGGTGTGGCACATCCTACAGACACCGCAGTTCGTCCAGCAGGACCACCAAAGCAGGGCCCCAGGGCAGGCGATGCCCGAGGTCTGGGAGGTAAAGAGAAGCGGATCGAGAGGACAGGCGGAGGGGGAGGATCTGAATTTCCAAGGTGATGGGCTTGGGAATCTGGCGATGCTAGTGGCCGACATGCTCGGAGACAGCAGGCTCCTGCAGGCGTCTCCTCGCGGAGCCTGGTTCACGCACTGGAAACAGCACTTGGCACAAGCAAAATTAACTGAGAGAAAAAAAATAGGTCCCAAGGTAAAGTGGCCAGTCAGGTGGCAAACTCTTGTCCAGAATCATCTGTGGTGCTTGGGGAAAAGGTACTCATTCTTTATTTGGGTGTCATTATTGAAATGGTGACTTCTTTCCTGTCATCTGAGTTTCCGGTCAAGTCTGCAAAGCAGGGCAGAGGAGGGCGTCCGAGGGCCATGTTTTGCCTACTCAGGTCCCAGAAGGCCAACCTGTGTCACCTGCAAACAGTGGAAAGGGAGGCGAGGGGCCGCCTCCGTGCCTGCTGCGCCAGCTCAGCTGGGCCAGCACGTCCGACAGTCTGAGACTCAGGAGCGGGGGAGCTGGTGGCCCACACGGCATGCTGGCTATGCCAACTTCAGGCAGGGGAGGAACGAATCGGGGAATCCACGGAGGTGTAGGCCAGCTTGGGCCAGCTGCCTGTGTGCAGCTACAACGGCACGCTCGTCCCATCAAGTCCCAAGGGGTGGGGAGTGCTTGCCCCACGCTTGGACTTGTTCCTGTTCCCTCATCTTCTCCTGCTGGTGACCCCACAGCTCCACGCCTGGCGCAAGGGCCACCAGGCAGGCGGGCTCTGGGGCTCAGAGCCCATTGCTGTCAATGGCTGTCACGGAGGCAGGTGTCGAGGAGCGCGAGGTGGTTGCCGAGGTCTTGTCCAGGGCCGGGCTGGGCACGCTGCAGTCAGCAGAGCGGGCCGAGGAGCCCCGGGCCCCGGGCAGCAGCTGCCGGCTCTGGCTGTGGGGGCTCTGGCTGTGCAGGCTCTGGCCGCAGAGGCGGTGGTGCCGCTCCCAGTCCTTGTGCTGGCAGAAAGAGCCACAGTACCGCGCGATGTTGCAGCCGCTGCACGTCTCGCTGGCTTTGCGGCCGCAGTTCCAGCAGTTCTGCAAGACACGGCATTGGTTAGTGGCGGCGGGGACTGCGGGGCAGGCCAGTCACTCGCCACTACTGCCCGCTGGTCCTACCTCTGCTGCCATCTGTTGAACTGGGGGACACCCAGCCCCCTGCCCTGAGTCTTTCATCTATAGAACAGGAAAATACCAACCAGGGAGGGCTGGGGTGTGGTGTGTGCGTGTATGGTAGGCAGGGAGATGAGGGGAGTGGGTGAAAAGAGCCTGCCTGGCCCACCTCAGCCACAGACTCCACTTTCCCACTGGTATTTCAGTCCTGAGGCATCAAACTGTTCCAGGCTCACCCAAGCCAACGACTAAGAGACCACACGCCCAGGGATATGTCAGGATATGCTCTTGCAACTCCTGATGGATGAGGGGTGCCTCCGTTTCCCTTTCTTCCTTCTTTCTAACAGTGCTGAACTTTTAACGGTGTTTTAAGGGAGTACTGGGAAAACTGGATCATTTCCAAAATGTTCCAGTCAGGGAACGGGACGGGGACCAGAGTGGAGGCAGCTGCCATTTTCCCTCTGCCCTCGCTTCCTCTCACCAGCGTCTCAGCACGGATGGGCTGAGCACAGGAATATTTTTGGCATGCTTGAAGGGCCACTCAGAACTCAGGACCCTGGAAGTCCAGGTCAGGGAGTTTTGTTTGTTTTTAAACTGATTCTTTTTCTTTTTTTCTTTCTTTTTTTTTTTTGACAGGCAGAGTTAGACAGAGAGAGACAGAGAGAGAGAAAGGTCTTCCTTCCGTTGGTTCACCCCACAAATGGCCTCTACGGCCGGTGCGCTGTGCTGATCTGAAGCCAGTAGCCAGGTGTTTCTCCTGGTCTCCCACGCAGGTGCAGGGCCCAAGCACTTGGGCCATCCTCCACTGCCTTCCCGGGCCACAGCAGAGAGCTGGACTGGAGGAGGGGCAACCGGGACAGAATCCGGCGCCCCAACCGGGACTAGAAGCTGGGGTGGCGGCGCCGCAGGCAAAGGATTAGCCAAGTGAGCTGTGGCGCCGGCCTTTAAACAGATTCTTGTACTTTCCTAGAGGGAAGCAAGTGCTACTAGAGCTTGGACAAAACCACCAGAGGAGAGGGTACCACGGAGGACGCACTAATTAATACAGTGGAAGACCCGAGCCAGGGGAGGCTTGGTGTGAGTTGCAAGGAACAGCCCTGAAACCAGCAGAGGAAAGGGGCAAGGCCCTGCTTAGACAGCTGTCCCAGGTCCCAGGCACACAGAGGACACGTGTGCATGCATGCAGCCCCTCCCCACCGCGACAGCTCCATTAGGCTCCCATCAGCGTGTAAGCCCTGAGTTTCTGCACCCCAGGTCTCCAGGACCCACTGGGAAGAGGAGCGCCTTGAGCACTGACCACGTGAAGCTGTCAAAAGAAACCAGCAACCAGCTGCTGCTGCCCCTCGTCTTTCCTTCCCACCCCGCATGGACTCTGCAGGGGCAGAAGCAGCTGTGAGGCAGGCTGCAGCCCCACTGAGGGGAGCCAGAGTGCTGGGTTCCTCTGTAAAACACAGGACTAAAGAAGGCATCGGGGCCACCTCACCACTTTGTGGGCTATTCAGAAGGGAAATAGAGTCAGGGATGGACTTGCTTAAAGCTTTGCTTAGCAGCTGTGCAAAGTCTGGGCCCCAGACCTCTGGACACCCCAAAACTCAGTGCCCATGCTTAAAAATTCAAGAGCATGAGACAAGATTCCCAATGCAACAGGCATTTCAGGAAACACACTCTGGGGATTGGCACAAATTGACCCAACCAACATCGGAGGACCAAAAAGGAAACAAAAGTGACTCGGGTTCCATGAATAGTCTGCAAGCAAACCGCTTTGCTGACAATTTCATGCTCTGGAGTCTGCCAGGCTGCCTGTAAACGAGGCTGTGGGCGGGGCTGGTGGGGAGGAACTCGGCCGCTGCCCACGCAGGGCTGCCACCAGCACCATGGAGCCCCTCTCCTCTCCAGGCTGTGTGGCATCCCAGAAATGGGTCTGGGCATTAAACCCGAGCAGGAGCTTATTCCATGATTTAGAAAATACACTAAAACAAATGAACAGCCTCCCGCAGGGCACGACCAGTGCACTCGCACCAGCACAACCAGGGCGACAAGAAGGCCTCTGCTTGCCGTCTTTGGCTTCTCCCTGACTTCCGTGGGTTTTCTGGGCAAGATAAGACAAGTGTTTATCACTGCAGTCACCCTTCAAAGCAGTGTCTCCGCAGCTGGAACATTAGACGTGGCCAAGTTAATAGAGCTCCTGGCCACAAGTCAGAGAGACGACTGCGAAGTTTCCCGTGGCCAGCAGGGGTCATCTGTTTATGCCAATGTTCTTCCAAGTGTGGCCCAGGGCCCACCTGGAGAGCACCTGAAGCTTGTCAAACTCACTGTGACCCAGCCCAGGTCTCTGACCTTTTTGTAAACCTCCCCATATGTCACTGTCAATTGCTGGGCTGTTGTATTTGCCAAGAAAACCAAGCTGTGGACAGAGAGTCCTATGTGACCAAGCTAAGGGGCTCTCTCACGTTTTCCCTCCACCCCTTTGGATGGAGCCATTTCTTCAGAGAAGCGGCTGCTCTGTGTGACTGGGCCCTGCGCCAGCCTGAAAGTGGTTGACAACAGTGCACTGCAGTGTAAGAGCACTTCCACAACCATGAGTTCACCTCATCTCCCCACGAACTATCAGATCAACAGGAGAGGGGCTGTTATACCCATTTATTTATTTATTTATTTATTTATTTTTATTTTTTTTGACAGGCAGAGTGGACAGTGAGAGAGAGAGACAGAGAGAAAGGTCTTCCTTTGCCGTTGGTTCACCCTTCAATGGCCATCGCGGTGTGGCCGGTGCACTGTGCTGATCCGAAGGCAGGAGCCAGGTGCTTCTCCTGGTCTCCCATGGGGTACAGGGCCCAAGCACTTGGGCCACCCTCCACTGCACTCCCTGGCCACAGCAGAGAGCTGGCCTGGAAGAGGGGCAACCGGGACAGAATCCGGCGCCCCGACAGGGACTAGAACCCGGTGTGCCGGCGCCGCAAGGCGGAGGATTAGCCTAGTGAGCTGCGGCGCCGGCCTCTGTTATACCCATTGTACAGAGACTGAGGGGAAACTGGAAGAACTTCAGGTTCTAACCCCAGTACTAGGCTCCTTCCCATTAACACAGGGCCTCTCAACTCTGTGGAGCTCCCAGGAACATCTTGTGGATGCTGTGGAGGGAGTCAGCCATGCTGGTACAGCGTACTCTCACCCAAGGCAGTCTCTGTTCCATCCCTGTTTGGGAAAGCGAGTCTGCTGGGACAGGTGTGTACCTCACCTCAGGCCACTTCCTGCATAATTTAAAGTTGTATTTCCCTAAAAGCACAGTCCTATAAATGGAGCTGGGAACTAACCCTATGCAGCCCAGGTCTGGAACTCATGCTCCAAGCCAAGGGCTACACTCCTTCTTTGGAGAGCAGCTTGAAGACAAACACAGACCTGAGCAAACATCACGGCTCAACCTGGCCAGTGCTGTGGCTCACTAGGCTAATCCTCTGCCTGCGGCGCCGCCACCCCGGGTACTAGTCCCAGTTGGAGCGCCAGATTCTGTCCTGGTTGCTCCTCTTCCAATCCAGCTCCCTGCTGTGGCCCGGGAAGGCAGTGGAGGATGGCCCAAGTGCTTGGGCCCTGCACCCACATGGGAGACCAGAAGAAGCACCTGGCTCCTGGCTTCGGATCAATGCAGTGCACCAGCCATTTTGGGGAGTGAACCAACGGAAGGAATACCTTTCTCTCTGTCTCTGTCTCACTGTCTAAATCAGCCTATGAAACAAACAAAAAACACAACCCTAAAGAAAAAGCAGTTGGGGTTTGCTGAGCGGGAGGAGGGGGGCCTCCTTTCTCACATTTCAGTGTCCTTGCTGGTGTGATACAGTTGAGAACTGTGCTATTTCTGAAGGCCACTTGCATTCTCACACTGCCATAGGCAAAGGCTCCCTCACAGTGCCACGTGTGGAACTGCTATTTTAAAACGGATCATATGGGTGTCGGTCTGTGTCTTGGCTGCTCTACTTCTGATCCAGCTCTTTGCTATGGCCTGGGAAAGCAGTGGAAGATGGCCCAGGTCCTTGAGCCCCTGCACCCTCACAGTAGACCAGGAAGAAGCTCTTGGCTCCTGGTTTTAGATCAGTGCAGCTCCAGTTATTATGGCCAACTGGGCAGTGAACCAGCAGACGGAGGACCTGCCCCCCTGCCTTTCCTTCTCTTTCTGTGTAACCCCCTTTTTTTTTCCTGAAAATGGACCATTTGAACATTGTGAAAATACAATTTCTGTTCAAAAAAAAAAAAAAAAAAAAAAGTAAGTTCCTTAATTTCAAGAGAATGTCGTAGAGAGCTATACCTGTTTATAAAAACTGGATAATTTCTTGTTTTTAAAAACTGAAAGATAACTAAAATTGAAGTACAGAAAAATGTCCTTCAATTCTCCAGGACTATCTCAATGTTTTGCACGCACGTTTTTCTTTAAGTCTCATCATTTCTGTGCTCACTGTGGTGCACAAGTCTGCTGTACTGAGGCAACAGGAAGTCCTAGGCCAGGTCTCCCTGCCCTGCCACTTCTGACCGTAAGAGTATCCTGTGGCCAGGTGCCACAGGACCCAGCATGCTCTTCCCCCACTGAGGCTGCACGACAGGTAAAGTCCCCCCGCCACGTCGCTGCTTCCTAGCAGTCAGTCAGCAGGATGTACCCACCCCACAGCACAGTGACAACAAGAAAACACACACTGAGCTGGCTGCCTGGCACGTGGTAACCCACTCAGCACTGCACACCATTCTCAGGCAGTCACACAGTCTTTAGGGTGAGATTTGAAAACAAACCAACATAATGAGCACATATATAATATAATGTATAATACACACACACACACACACACACCCCACACACACGCACAAGTACATATAACAATAATGAGTCTTACATAGTGACAGTGTGCATAGTCCCAGAGTGACAGGATAGAAAGCAGCCGCTAGTTCAGGAGTGAACTGCTTCTCACTGTCCAGCGCATGAGAGGAAAATCGTGGGTGTAGCACCCACAGCTGCCCTGGCCCCAGCCCCAGCCCCCGGCCCCCTGAGCTCTGACCTCGGTGGACTCTTCCTGCTCATTGATGACCAGGAACGCATCCTCCGCAGCCTGCCGCTTGACATCCGCTATGGTTTGCTCCATTCGGGCTCTCTCCGTGGCAATCACTTCAAAGGCTTTTTGCTCAGCCTCGGCGACAGCCTTTTGTACTTCTGACATGGCCTGAATCTTCACCTTATTCACAGCTTCTTCTAGAAGAAAGTGACAGTAAAATCAACTGGCCGAGAACTCCTTTCCCTCCCAACCCACAGATTTTCTGAGAAGGGTCAGAGCTGAAAAAAGATGCGTTTCCTAGAAACGCACAGGATCACGTGTTCATTCACTCAACCATCTGTGGAGTGCGGCAGGCTGGGCACTGTGCTGGCTGGAGCTGTACAGGCGACTGGACATCGTCTGTGCACCTGTGACTGAGCAAGCGTAACAGTGCTTTAGGTGCCACCACCTAAACTCCAACACCGAGACAAGAGTGCCAAGGAGAAAAGTGGTCCCCTATGGAGGGCCGGGGAGGGATCAGGAAACATGTACGAAGCGATGTGTGTGGAGGTCTGGAAAGCCCTGCATGCCAGGACTCTGGACTCAGCAGGAGCAGGTGGCACCAAGAAGGGGATAAACCAGGAGGATGCGGCTAGCACCGATGGGTCTGCTGTGGAGGGGCTAGAGAAGAGCAGAACCATGCATGGACCTTGGCGACACGAGGACACAAGGGCTGGCAGGGACACCCGGCAGAAGGCAGCGATACCTCCAGGTCATGCAGGTACCTGTGACCATGGGCAGGAAGCAACCTGAGACTAAACTCAGTGGAGAATTAGGAGCTGAAGACACAATGTAGGCAGCTAGCAGAGTCAGATTTCTAATCCCTGTGGTCACAATTCCGCCAGCTAGCTCCTGATCACTCCTGCCCATCCATGGCTACCACCTCATGTGGTCTCCCTGGAGGGGAGACTCCAAATAGCATGCTCTATGCAGCTCAGTGAACCTCAGCCCAGTGAGAACGTGCACGGCCTCTCACATAAACCCACAGGACTGGCCAGCCCAGAAGCCTCATGAACTCCCCAACAGCTCAGCTCGTCACATGAGCTGGGCTCAGAGGTTCCAGGCAGGTTCCAGGACCCTGAGTCAGCACTGCCCCTCTCACTGCTCCAGAGGCTAAGGATTCCAGGCTTCCCTACCCAATGCCCACACAGACCCCACCGCAGACCACTGGAACCATCTTCCATGGGCTGCTCTGTGGCCATCAAGAAGGTGTTAAATGCCTGTGAGCAAGCCAATAACCACAATAACCATGCTCTCAGGTAATTTCTATCCTCTCAGTTTAAGCAGGAAGCAGCAAGAATCAGTTTGGAAACTATCTTACTGGATATCACCTAAGGTAACAGATGGCACCATAGCAAAGTGGTAATGCTTAACTCCCAATGAAGAAATATTTGTATTTGTATTTCTCAGAGCGTAATTTGCTCAAAGCTGAATGAATGTGAGCTAGGAAGAAAGGAAGCTGGTGTTTGCAGAGGAAGAGTGATGTGAGGTTTTTTTTTGTTCCCTCCATTTCCTATTCTGCCAGAATAGTCGGTCACCACTCTTCTCTATTCCTGAAGTCAGTCAATCTACCAAGGGCGGTCACGGCTAAGCCGGAGAGTGGCAGTGGAAGGAAGAACCAAGGGGTGTGAGAGCTGCACCTCGAGCAGACCTCAGCAGCCGTGGCAGCAGTGTGAGCACAGTGTGCACAGGTCCAAAGTAAGGAGCTCAGGCAGAGGTGAATTTAGCTAATGGCCCAAAAACAGCACAGATCAAACAGGCAAAGAGGAGCTGGTCGCCTCCTGCATCAGTATGAACCGGAGGGAGCTGCTGCAAGCTCCTGGCCTGTCCAGCAACAGGACAGGTGTCCAGGAGGTGTGTGGGGCAAGTGAGAGGAGGAGCCGCAGGAGCCTGGAGCTGTCAGGAGCAAGTTATGAGACACAGATGTGGCCACCACCCCTCTCCCAATCTGTGCTCTCCAATCGTGCATACGAGTGAGTGTTCCCCACCCACGAGCAGACACATACCCGTTTTTTTCCAAAACTCCACCGGTACGTAACCTGTTCCCGGCCTGCTGCTGAATTCCCGCTGAGAATCTGCAGGAGAGAAAAGGAGCGCACTGTCAGATGCCGCCTGAGATCAGGTTTATTTTATGCAACATATATTTTAAAGAAAAGATTATTTATTTGAAAGCAGAGTTACAAAGAGAAGGAAAGAAAGAGGTCTTTCACCTGTTGGTTCATTCCCCAAATGGCAGCAATAACCAGGGCTGGGCCAGGCCAAAGCCAGGAGCCAGGAGCTTCTTCCAGGTCTCTCGTATGAATGCAGGAAGCCAAGGACTCAGCTACCCCCACTGCTTTCTCAGGTATATTAACAGGGAGCTGGACTGAAAGGGGAGCAGCTGGGACTTGAATGGGCACCCATATGGGATGCCGGTATCATAGGCTGTGACTTATCACACTGTACCACAACACAAGCCCCCTATGCAACAATTTTTTAAAGATCCTTTTTTTTTTTTTGGACAGGCAGAGTGAGAGACACTGAGAAAGGTCTTCCTTTTGCCATTGGTTCACCCTCCAATGGCTGCCACGGCCGGCGCACCGCACTGATCCAAAGGCATGAGCCAGGTGCATATTCTAGTCTCCCATGGGGTGCAGGGCCCAAACACTTGGGCCATCCTCCACTGCACTCCCAGGCCACAGCAGAGAGCTGGCCTGGAAGAGGGGCAACCGGGACAGAATCCAGCGCCCTGACTGGGACTAGAACCTGGTGTGCCGGCGCTGCAGGAGGAGGATTAGCCTATTGAGCCGCGGCGCCGGCCTAAAAATCCATTTTAACTGACATGGCAATTGTGTAAATTTAATTTTTATTTGAATGGGAGAGAGAGACACAAAGAGAGAGATCTTCCATCCACTGGTTCACTCCCCAAATGCCTGCAACAACTGGGGCAGGGTTGGGTTGAAGCCAGGAGCCCAGAATCAATCCAAATCTTCCTTGCTGGTGGCAGGGACCCAAGTTCTTGAGCCACCACCTGTTGCTTCTTAGGGTACGCATGAACAGGAAGCTGGAATCAGAAGCAGAGCCAGGACTCAAACCCAGGCACTCCAGTGTGGGACAGGCAAACCAACTTGTGCCTTAACTTCATCATCAAATGCCTGTTCCTTCTGCAACAATCTCACTCACCACTTAAAGATTCCAGCGTGTATGTTCACTTAGTGTGACAAAACACTCTCATAAAGGCTAAAACGCATGCATCAAGCACTAATATTTGGAAGCAGTAAGGTTAAGTGGTCTTCGCTTCCTACTTTTACCTTATCCAGACATAATTTTGTCCCTAAACATGTATATGTTATTAAGGCCCTCCCCCAAATCTAAGCTCACAGATATTTATGTACACGTATGTATGTATGTGCATGTTCTCAGCACACATAGGTGGGAAATATAATTTTTGCTTCCTGGCAACTCTTAAGCCCTGTATGTGACTTAAGGTGGTTTCTTGAGTTTCTTCAGGGGCAGACGTTTGGACCTACAGTAAAGCTATCTGAGTGCCTGGGTGTGACACCTGCCTCTGACACCTGACCCTAGCCTCCTGGTAGCCTTCCTGCAGATCCTGGTAGGCAATGATGACAGTACAAGCAACTGGGTTCGTGCTATCAAAGTGGGAGACAAGGATTGACTTCCTGGCTCCCAACTTAGTTCTGGTCTAGCTCTGGCTATTGTAGGCATTTGGAGAGTGAACCACTGGATGGAGGCTTTCTCTCTGATTCTCACCTCCACTGCCTTTCAGATGAATAAACGATACCTAATAGTATTGGGTTTTAAAAGAGTGTATCACTCCACAACAACAAAACAAACAACCCAGTTAAGAGATGGGCAAAGGACCTAAATAGACATTTTTCAAAAGAGGAAATCCAAATGGCCAACAGACACATGAAAAAATGTTCAGGATCACTAGCTGTCAGGGAATCGCAATTCAAAACCACAATGAGGTTTAACTTCAACCCAGTTAGAATGGCTTTCATGCAGAAATCAACAAACAACAAATATCGGCGAGAATGTGGGGAAAAAGGTACCCTGATCCAGTGTTGTTGGTGGGAATGTAAATGGGTAAAATTATGGAAAAAAGGGAAAAAAGGGAAGGAAAAAAGGGAAGGAAGGAAAGAAGGAAGGAAGGAATCCGGTCATTTGCAACAAAATGTATGAATCTGAAAAACATGAGACTTTGTGAAATAAGCCAATCCCAAAGGGACAAATATCATATGTTCCTGATCTGTGAGAACAAATAGAGTACCTATAAGGAAATCTGTAGAAGTGAAATTGACACTTAGAGAAGGGATGACTTGAGCTGCCCTTGTCTTGACTGTCAAGAAAGTTTTTTTTTCTTCACACTATTTGTTGAACTCTTTACTTAACACAGAGTTAATCCTATGTGTATAAAGTCAACTGAAAATAGATACCAGTAAAAAATAAGAGTGGGAATAAGAGAGGGAGGAATAAGTTTGTAACTATAAAACTGTATAGTTCTGCAGACACTCTTACTGACTTACTTCTAAGGGAGTACAGTTTAAAAACTTGTCATGGGATTCCAAATCCCATTAAGCTTGGTGGTAAAAATGCCATCTTAACTGTTAAAGTAATTATATTAAGTGCTAAAGTGAATATATAGATAAGATTGAGTGTTAAAGGGATCATATAAATAGTATCAAGTGCCTGGTAATAATAGATAGAATTAAAAAGGAGAGAATGTTTCAACATGGGAAGTGGTCCACACAACAGACTCATATAATGACAATCACTTTAAGTAATATTTTGACCTCAGAATCAGCCCTTAAGGCTTACTGGTCTGGCTGAAAAGCACATGAGAGCATTTCAGGCATGGAAAGCCAAGATAGTGTGGCTTTCATGTTCTACATGAAGGATCTCTGTGAGTGAGATCCCAGAAGTGGCCATCAAAGAAGAATGTACTTTTCTCTAAAGGGGGGAGAGAATTTCTACTTTGCTTATGGCCTTTCCAAATACTGATGGAGTTCGTAGACTCAAAAGGCTTCTACAGCCTAGGCAGCTCATTTCAAGAGCCTCGGGTGGTCACTGAAGTCATACATAGAGTGTTAATTGTTAAATTAATTAATAATAGGAATCACTCTCCATGCAGAACTTCTGTCCTTGATGAGTTATATTATGAGAGTTAACTGTAAAATCCGTTCTCAAACAGTTTGTGTGTGTGTGTGCAAATTGCTGAAATCTTTATATGGCTGGGAGGGCTGATATGGTGGGAAGAATAACTATATTCCTCAAATTGCACTTAGGAAATTTGTATTCCTTAAAAATCAATTTAAAAAATTGTATCAAATACATATAAAATGTATCATTTTAAAATATATAGCTCAATAGCAGTACATTCACAGTAGTGTTGCAACCATTACCACTACCGAGCTCCAGAACGTTTTTATAACCACAAAACAGACCCATGGACAGCGTAGTGAACTTAACATTTGATGGCAGATGTCCTTTACATGAGTCTTTGCAGTCCAGGAAGGGCCACCACTATGGCCAACATGGGGAAAACAGATAAGGTTCCTGATTTATGTGGCTACCTGTCAACCATTTAGAAATGTTAAGTGTGGTGAGATTCATGAAATAAATACAGGGAAAGACGTAGGGCTAGAATAGCTAAAAGAACACAACCTAAGCAGCAGGCTAATTTCAACTGAGGCTTAAAAAAGAGAAGAGAAAGAGTCTGAGTATGTTGATAAGCCACCACCTGGCAATCAATGGCAGAATAAACATCTGCTTACTCATGAGCACTTGGGGAAGCCTGGACCAGCCAGGACAAAGCCATCACACTTTGTCTTCATATGCCCTGTGCATGTCCTCCACATGTACCAAGTGTGAGGGGAGATGCACTGAAAGCCTCACCTTACTCAGGATGGCCTGGGGTTAAGGATATTTTCTGTGTTTTTCCAAAAGCTAGAATTCTTGTTTTTATATCTCTAACACCAAAAGAGACATAATTTAGAACTTTCAGCTGGATCAGTGTGGAAACTCTCAAAAGTGATTACAACCAAATCAAAGGGGTCAGAAATGGGAGGACTAATGGTATAGGGGTCATGCAGGGGAATTCTTAATTCTTGGAGGAAGCACTTAAGGGTGAGCATCACAGTGGCTGAGGGAGACTGCACCAACCTTCCTAGCCATCTGCAGAGGAAAGTAAATGTGGAAAAACATAAAGAACAGGCAAACCCAGGTGAAGGGCACGTGCTGCTCTTTCAACATTTCTATATGTTCAAAAAACCTCAAAATACAAAAGTGGGAAAAATTATCTTTAAATAGGAGCCCATAGTGGAGAGTGGGAACAGGATTTCACACATTACTTTCATGTTTTGTTTTGCTTGAACTTTTTATAGGGGCCCAAGCACTTGGGCCATCTTCTATTGCTATCTCAGGCCAGAGCAGAGAGCTGGATTGGAAGAGGAGCAGCCGAGACTAGAACCAGTGCCCATTTGTGATGCTGGCTCGTGCTATTAATTATTATTATTTTTGTTTGACAGATAGTTAGACAGTGAGAGAGATAGAAAGGTTTTCCTTCTGTTGGGTCACCCCCCAAATGGCTGCTACGGCCAGAGCTACACTGATCCGAAGCCAGGAGCCAGGTGCTTCTTCCTGGTCTCCCATGTGGGTGCAGGCGCCCAAACACTTGGGCCATCCTCTACTGCTATTACTAAAATCTGCAAGATCTGGGCCAGTCCAGTGTACCCTGGATGCTTTCTAGGCCACCTCTGCACTGTTGCTGGGGCTTTCTACCATTATCTCAGGGATTTGCTTCTTGCATGTTCTAAAAAACTGATTTGGTAAGGGCCAGCACTATGGCACAGTGGGTTAAGCCGTCTGTGGTGCCAGCAGGCCATAAGGGTGCCAGTTCAAGTCCCAGCTGCTCTACCTCTGATCCAGATCCTTGCTAATGCACCTGAGAAAGCAGTGGAAGATGGCCCAAGTGCTTGAGCCCCTGCATCCATGCAGGAGATTGGAGGAAAGATCCTGGCCCTCGCTTTGGCTTGACCCAGCCATTGCATCCTTTTGGGAAGTAAACCAGCAGAACCTCTCTCTGTAACTTTGCTTTTCAAGTAATCATAAAGTTTTTAAAAAAGCAGCAGATGTGCCCGGAAGGGCAGTGGAGGATGGCCCAAGTGCTTGGGCCCCTGCACCCACATGGGAAGAAGCACCTGGCTCCTAGCAGTGCCAGCTATGGCGGCCATTTGGGGAGTGAACTAACGGAAGGGAAGACCTTTCTCTCTGTCTCTCTCTGTCTGTAACTCTACCTGTCAAATAAATTAATTTAAAAAAAAATCTTAAAAAAGAAAAAAAAAAATAAAAAGCAGAAGATGACTTTGCCACCCACACTGGAAACCTGAGTGAAGCTCCTGGCTTCTGGGTATGGTCTGGCTGAGTCCCAGCCACTGCAGAGAGGCAGAGCCACTGAGAGAGAGAGGGAGAAACAGAAAGAAAGGTCTTCCATCCACTGGTTTGCTTCTGAGATGGCTGCAGTACCTGGAGTTGAGCCAATCAGAAGCCAGGAGCCATGAACTCCTTCCAGGTTTCCCACAAGGGCACAGCGGCCCAAGCACTTGGGTCATCTTCTACTGCCTTCCCAGGAATCAGCAGAGAGCTGGACCAGAAGAGCAGCAGCCAGGACATGTACTGGTGCCCACATGGGACTCCAGAGTCGTAGATGGAGGCTTAGCCTACTATGTGCCACAGCCCTAGACCAGAAATAAATCTTTTTAAAACAACCCTGCCTTCTAACTTTCAATTATGGTAACTGATGAAAAAAGTCTGTTTCTTTTGCTGGGTAGTTTACTCAGTAGACTAATTCAGTCCACTACTGCTCTACTTTTTGCAATTATGACAACAATCTACGTGAGTGCTTGCTCATGAGCTGGGTGACTTCTAATTTTCTTATTGTGGAGTCAGTGTTGTGGTGCAACAGGTTAAGTCACCACCTGCAATGCTGGCATCCCTTATGGATGCTGGTTTGAATCCTGGCTGCTCCATTTCTTCTTCTTTTTACAATTAATTAATTTTATTTATTTGAAAGGCAGAGTTAAAGAGAGGCAGAGACAGACAGAGAGGTCTTCCATCCACTGGTTCACTCCCCAAATTGCTACAATAAACGGGGCTGGGCTGGGCTGAAGCCAGGAGCTTCTTCTGGGTGTACCACGTGGGTGAGGGGGCACAGGCACATGACCCATCCTCTGCTGCTGGGATGGGGATGGTTTAGGTGTTGGGCCCCTGCGCCCATGTGGGAGACCTAGAAGAAGCTCCTGGCTCCTGGCTTTAGCTTGGCCCAGCACTGGCTATTGAAGCAATTTGGGGAGTGAACCAGGGGATGGAAGACCTCTCTCTCTCTGTAACACTACCTTTCAAATAAATAAATAAAAAAAAAAAAAGAAAAAGAAAAAGAAAAAGAAAACACTGCATAGGATGCCCACATTTCATATCCGAGTGCTAGGGTTTGCATCCTGGCTCTGCTGCTGAATCTAGCTTCCTACCTGTTAATACGCACCCTGGGAGTAGCAGGTGACAGTGGCTCACAGGGTTGGGTCCTTGCCATTCACTAAGGTGATCTGATTGAATTCTGTTTTTGGCTTTGGCTCCCTGTTTTGGTCTGACCTAGCCCTGGCTGTTGCAGACATTTGGGAAGTGAACTAGCGGATGGGAGATCTCTTATTCTTTGCTTTTCAAATTAATAAAAATGAAGAAAGAAATAAATGATGCTATCCAGACCTGCAGCTAGAACTCTCTAATGCTGTACTTGCCAAACCAGGGGGAACCATTCTCCTGTCTTCTGTGGTATTCTTGCTTTTCCTTATAGTTTTAATTTCTTCACGCATCTTTAAATACCAACATATGGGCTGGCCACGTGGCGTGGTAGGTTAAACCTCTGGCTGTGGTGTCAGCATCCCACACTGGTGCCAGCTTGTGTCCCACATGCACCACTTCCAATCACGCTCCCTGCTAATGCCCTTCGAGAGCACTGGAGGTGGCCCAAGTGCTTGGGCCCCTGCCCCCGTGTGGGAGACCCGGAAGGAACTCTTGGATTCTGGTTTTGGGGAGGCCCAGCTCTGGTTGTTGTGGCCATTTGGGGAGTAAACTGGGGGATGTAAGACCTCTCATCTCTCCCTCTCTGTAATTCTGCCTCTCAAATAAATAAATATTTTAAAAAATCAATACGGGGGTGCTGCAAACAGTTTGTGAGAATGGAATTAAATAAGTTTAATTCAAAAGAATTTGAAATCCATGGATATAAGCACATCCTGGTAACAGCTCCTCATATCTGGGTTCACATTCTGAATAGCATGTTGGATAGAAATCACGTTATTCCTATACCCTATAACAAACATGTACCATGAGAGCAATGAACATAAGATAAATGTGTATATACATAAATTTATAATATATACCAATAAATAGTGTTTTATTTACACCCTCAGAAGACTCACAGAAGGTTCAGTTTAGCTTTTCCAGCTAAACTGAGAATGACAATATAATTTATCATCTTTGTTGTCTTCATTTTTGAGAGTGAGGGAGGAACTAATAATAATTATGACAAGACACAGGCATAAACTTGGTTGGACTTTCCCAAGAGAATCACAGAAGCTAAAGCTTTAAGCAGAGGAGGAGAAAAGTGGAGCGTGGGCACACAAAGGTTCAAATTAGACACCAGCAAGTCCACAATCTGGGCCAGAGAAGGGCTCATGTCTGCAGCCCATTCAGCCTCTGCTGTCTGCACCTACACACAGGCACTCACCAGCAATGGTGACCTTTAGATTCTAGGTAGTTACAGGAAATGTCTACAAGGCTCGGATGGTGAGGGACACCTGAAGATCTGCTTTGTCTGCTTAGGAAGTGTTCATAAAAGGAACTGTGCAACTCTAACAACCTGTAGTTGGCTCAAGAGCTCCAGCTGTGGGTGGGTTAATGCACTGTTAATATAGTGCACACAAACAGTTGACTACCAGTATCTGTACACACTACATTAACTCTGGCTTTGCTTAGTTTTTTCTCGCAGTCTTAATAGCAGCCATCTTCTATGGAACATGCTAAGTCTGCCTGGTAAACATTTGGGAACTTTAAGTGGGTGGGTAGGGAAGAGTCTGACAGTAGATGACAGTAGAGGCACACTCAGTTTTGCCTTTGGATAGGGTATTGTTGCTGGGTAAATGTGAGCCATTTCTGTGAGAATTGTTGTGGCTTCCTTGAAGTATCCTGGTTTCAGAGAGTAGCTGCTCATGTCTCTGTTGCTACAGGCTGGGAGGAGGATAGCTGGGATGATCAGCTTGGTACAGCAAAACCTATTGTATCATGCCACCAGCATGTGGTTGAACTGTGTTATTTTCCTGGATGGGAAAAAGAGGAGGTGACCACGTTTAGGCATACTGTGAAGGATAAAAGTGATGACATGAGAGTACTGAGTACATTCATCACATAGGGGCCTTCCGGAACTCCATAATCTAGCACCATCTTCCTTGTAATTAAAATAGAAAGACCCCTCCTTGCTGTTATCAGGTAGAATACAAAGACTGATGTTTCATGTGTGCCTCCTTCAAGACCACCCTCTTACCATTGTTGAGAGAATCTGTGCTCCCAGGGCTGTGCTGCCTGGAGACCAATTCTGTGCCCGTTTTTCCTCATCTCTGTGTTTTCATTGTACCGTCTTTTCCAGTAGTTGAGTTCTTCACGGTCAGATTCCTGACAGCGCCGCAGAACCGCCATGGAGCGCCTTGTTTTCTCTACCATTTCCATAATGCAATTCAGTGCCTGAACAGGGCAAGTCAGGCAGATAGTGGGTAAGGAAATTCAAACAATGAACACTAAACATCAAGTATAGGGAAACACAAACTAAGGATGCAGGTTCAAGAATTTTATAGGCTTAGGGACGCAACTTTACAGTTTCTTTTAAAACACATATATTTAAACATATACAAAATTTAATTATTCATTTCTTAAGCTCTCAAGATAATGCTTTCTAGAGTCAAGGTTGCAGCAATGACATGATCTCTATAAAACAGTCTTATAAAGCCATGGTAAATCTGTCTAAATATCACTACAGCAGCTGATAAAGCTGCAAATTTTGTAATAATACAATCAAAGAAATATAGACTAGGAACAATTATCACTCAGGAAAGAAAGGTTGCTATGTGCGTATTTCTATATTCATGCTGAAAGAGGTGAAGCAATTTGCCAACCTCACAAAGACAGGAAGTGGCAAAGTTCAGACCTAAAGTCACAAACCTTTGTTTCTAACCATCACAATTCATGACTTTCCTTGGTTGATGACATGAAGTGATCATGCCACCAAAATAAAGTTGGGAGTGCCTCTGAGGCTCTGGGAATGGTAGATACTTCAGTTTCTATTATAAGCAAAAGATGACTCAGCTCTGGCTATACTCATTTCAAGCTTACATGCTCTAGTTACTGTTACAAGTAATAAAGAGGGAAATCAGCATCTGTGAGGTTCTTACGTGGTCAAGGTGCTTCCATTCATCAGCCCATTCCCTTTCTGTCAGGCGGTGATCCACCAATTCATCTTGATAGCCTCCATTTAGACCTATCAGAAATTAAGAGATTAAAGATAGCAGGAAGAATATAACTGAACTGCTAGGGCCGCCGCTGTGGTGCACCAGGTTAATCCACTGCCCGTGGCGCTGGTATCCCATATGGGCACCAGTTCTAGTCCCGGTTGCACCTCTTCAAGTCCAACTCTCTGCTCTGGCCTGGGAAGGCAGTGGAGGATGTGGGGCAAGGCCAATGCTCCACAATCAAAACTAGAGTGTGGGTGTGTACTGGTACAACTACTTGCACAGCTGATTATTACCAATGTTTTCTTTTATTAATGATTTATTTATTTATTTGAAAGGCAGGTGAATGAGTGAGAATGACTGACTGACCTTCCATCTGCTGGATTACTCACCAAATGGCTGCAAAAACCAGGACTGGGCCAGGTTGGAGCCAGGAACTCCATTTGGGTCTCCCATATGGGTGGCAGGGGCCGCTGACAGATGCATCCCATATGGCCGCCAGTTCGAAACCCGGCTGCTCCACTTCCAATTCAGCTCTCTGCTATGGAAGATGGCCCAAGGCCTTGTGCCCCTGAACCCACATGGGAAACCAAGAAGCAGCTCCTGGCTCCGGATTGGTCGTTGTAGCCATCTGGAGAGTGAACCACCTCTCCCTCTGCCTCTGCTCAATACATATATAAATCACACACACACACACACGTGTGTGTGTATATACATATATTTAAATAATATATATTTCTCTGCTTTATGCCTCAAAACAATTGTGAGACAATCAGCAATTATTTAGTATTTCCTACTAAATACCAGTCCCTAATCTAAGTACTACAAGTCGTCTCTAAGAAGCTTATATAGTAATAAGTTTGACACAGATGAAGAAGCTGCTTTTGTAGCATTTAATAGTTAGTCATATAATCAGTGAAACAGGAAAGCTGGGAATCCAAGTCTAGATAGTCTGGCTCCTGGCTTTGGTGTGGACCAGCACTGGCCATTGTGGCCATTTGGGAAGTGAATCGGCAAATGGAAGACCCCTCTTTCTGTACCTCTGCCTTTCAAATAAATAAATCTTTAAATTTTTGTTTTGTTTTGAGAGATAGTGAGACAGAGAGATCCATGAATTGGTTCACACCAGGGTTAAAGCCAGGAACCAATCCAAGACTCCCACTTCAGCGGCAGGGCCGCAACTACGTGAGCCATTACCACTGCCTCTTAGGGTCTTAGGCACTCTGATACAATACAAGTATGTCTCACCTGGTTAAGTCAAGTGCCTGCCTCTCCATGAACTTTTTAAAGCCTTCATAATTTCTAAAATTTGTGGTTTTTTTTAAAGTATATATATTAAAATAAACAAAACAGTCATTCAGTCATTTGAAAGGCAGAAGGAGAGATCTTCCATTCATTGGTTCAACCCCTCAAATGCCCCAAACAGCCACTTTGGGCCAGGCTAAAGCCAGGAGCAAGGATCCCATAGGGGTCTTTCCTGTGGGTGGCAGCAACTCAGTACTAGAATCCAAACATTTGCTGCCTACCTCCCAGGTGCATTGACAGGAAGCTGGTTAGGAAGCAGAAGGAGAGACAGAGGTGGGATTTGATCCCACTTGTTCTGATATGGGTATTCCAAATGACAGCTTTACCTGCTGTACCATAATAACTGCCAAATTTGTTCAGTTTCCATCTCATCTAACATTTATTTTTACATGTAATATTGTTTGATCTCATCAATAGGGAAAAAACAATGATGCTGTTATTTAATTTTTCATGAAACAGGAAGGAAATCCAAGCATTCAGCATGAATTTAAAGCGTTGCCATGCTGCGAACATCACTTACTAAGATTGTGGTGCCGTTCACGAACTTCTCGATGCTCCAGCATCTTACTGGGTTCTCGGTACAGGTGTGAAGTTGCAATATCCTCTAAGGTGTAGTGCTGCAGAGGAGGAGGAGTCGGATGGAACTGGCCCCCAGGGTTCATAAGTGGCACAGAGAGGGCAGGACTGTGCCGGGGAGCAGGACTGATGGTACACACTCTCTTGGCAGGAGGCTCAGGAGGAATTGGATCTCTTTCAAAGTTGTTCTCTTCCCTCCTGTTGAACCAGAAGTGCACATCTGAGCCTGACAACAAGTGTTCACTCAAGCATCCCCTGAGCACTACTTTATGTTCCATATTCTGCTACATAAAGACTGGAAGAAAACATGTACATGTGGCATGGCTTGAACTGTCTTCAGGTGCTAGGCAATCATGTCAACTGCAGATAACCACGCAGAAACCTCTAACCTTCAGGAAACAAAGTAAAGAGTAAGGAGACGACTGCATTTCCAGTATGAGAGGCATACATACAGAGGGGATTCCTGTGTTCAGAATTTTTTTTGTTTCATTTTAATTATTCAGAACTTTATTCTCATAAATATATTATGAGTAAGATATATTATTAACATCAAAGCATTCAGCTTCTACCTGGAGTCATTTTATTATGAAGGATCATGTTTACCAGTAATGTTTTAAGATCAAATTTGTTACCATGGAGGTGTTATAGGAAAGAAACAATTCCTTACACAGGATAAAAAAAGGCTCACTAATCCACTTGTGACTTGAGATTTTCAGCCATTCCACTTCAACTGTAATACATTTTCCACCATTGGAAAATATAACTTCCTTAATAACCCAAAGAATGCTGTGGTAACCACTTGTGAAATACCTATTTGGTCTTCCCAGCATAAATCCTAATGTCCTGGGACTCTTCAAAGTGGTAAACCTATTTTTGTATACAAGTGAACAAGCTGGTGGCTGGCAGCAACAAAGTAGTTTTAGGATGGGGGTGAGTAGAAAGATGAAGGTCTGGGCTTTCATACCTGCCTTCAACCTTAAGGACAGAAGATGAGCTGAAGGTTAGGCCAATCACCACCGACTAACAATTTAAGCAATCATTCAACCGGGCCTCCACAGAAACCTGAAAGGACAGAGTCTCGAGAACCTGCACACGGAGGGCATGGGAGCTACACGCCCCTTCTCCCACATCTTGCTGCATTGTACTCTGGTATCTTGTGAGACATCTTTTGGAATAAACCAGTAAACATAAGTGCAGTGAAGACTATAAGCCACTCTAATCAATGAATGGAGCCTGAAGACGGTGTTGGGGGAGTGCTATTTTATAGCCAGGTGATCTGAAGCACAGGAAAAAAGCACCTATGAGGGTTGGTAACTGGCAGATCAAGGGAGGGGATAAGGTAGAGCTTTGGGGACTGAAGTCTCAATCCAGAATCTGATGCTATCTACATGTAGGCAGTGTCAGAACTAAATTAAACTGCAGGAGTTCCAGCTGGCATCTGTTGCCGAACTGACTGCTTGCTTGCTTTATGTGTGGACAAAAAACCCACCCCCATTTGGTCACACAAGTCTTCTGTGTTGACTGTTCAGAGAATTTTCTTATACTCCCAGAAGCAGAGGGGATCCATACAACTCTAGAATTTCTCACCATGGGTATGCAGACCCACCTGAAGGGTTTTTGAAAGATACTCATGTCTGGGAGATAGTCTTACTCCCTCTACTACTTCATACTGGGAAAAAGCAAAGCAAACCTTGGAAAGCCTGAAACATCGATTAGCTATCTGTAAGCATAGAAATCAAATTCCTGTTCACACACAAAGGAGAAGGTCACAGTGGTTCAAGAAAAGCAAGAACAAAGTCCTTCCTGCTCACCTCTCTGGACTGGGTCTCTTCCCGTTTCCATGCACCTCCATGAGCAGCTCAGAGGAGTCTGCCGGGGATGCGATACTGGTGTTGAGCAGAAGGTGTTCATGCTGAGCCAGGTACTGGGACGGGGTCTGCTTGGCGGCCCGGGCGCAGTGTAGCAGTTCCCGCTGCAGCAGGGGCAGGTTGGCCTTGAAGAGAAGGGGCAGTTTTCCCAGGGTTGTGCCCCATGCAGCCAGGATCAGCATCTCACAGGGCTTTCACAGAGTTAAGTCACATGAAACCAAAGCCCTGCTCTCCCTGTAGCTCTGATTCTCCAAAGTTCTTCATTATGTAGAGAGTCGCCTATGATACTGTACTAGAATTGCTATTGGACTCCTGTCTTCCCTAAAAAGCTGATGTAAACCTCCTTAAAGAAGGGGGTCATATGTCAGTAATGACGTGTAGAGCACAATTTGAATACATGTATTTTCAGAGACTGCCTACCAGGCAGTAAGAGCAATCTCACTCTTTCCTCCATCATTACAAATGCTGGTTTCTCTCTCTGGGATCCCTTCCTGTTCTTCAGAGTGCTGCCATGGAATTCCAACAGATTCTTGTGGAACACAGAGTTCTACAAAGGATTACTAGGAGAGAGATACCCTGTAAAGGGTAATTAACTATGGAGTGATACTCTTCCTTCAGAAAACTTTCAATGGGGACTAACCCTATGAAAAACCATATGCATTTTTAAAAAAAGATTTATTTATTTGAAAGGCAGAGTTACAGAGAGAAAGAGACAAAGAGAGGTCTTCTACCTGCTGGTTCATTCCCCAAATGGCTGCAATGGCCATGCTTGAAATCAGGGGTCAGGAGCTTCATTTGGGTCTCCCGTGTGGGTACAGGGCCCAAGCACTCAGGACACCCTCCGCTGCTTTTCTAAATACATCAGCAGAGAGGTGGATCAGAAGTAGAGCAGCTGGGACTCGAACCAGCACCCATAAGGGCTGCTGGCACTGCAGATGGTGGCTTAATCCACTACACCACAATACTGGACCCCATGCCTCTTTTAAACTTCAGAATTCTAAATCCTTCATAAACAGATATTACTTTACCTGTATTGTTTTCATTAAAGAGGTAAGAATTTTGTTTTTTACCCAAACTTAAAAATATTTCAGGCTGAGCCTATAATAAAAGCTTTTATCCAAAAGGATGATGAACAAGTGAAAGGAGTTTTAATACAAACAAGTAGTCATCCCCTCAGAGAGGTTATCTTAGCAGGCACCATAACTAATGACTGCTTTAAAGCAGAAATAAATTGACAACACCTTGAATTCCAGCCAAAAAGCTGCCATAACAACCTACTTCATGCTGTTTCCCAAAATAACAGTGTCAAGAATAGGAAATCTGACAATATAAAACCCTTAAGTTTGTTCCGTAAGTTCAATCTTCCTGCAACTGCAAAAATGTAAATTAAAAAAAAAATACCATGTCAGATCTTTACATTTGTGACATATTGTTCTATCATGAATAATAAAATAATAATAAAAGCTAATTATTTCCCACTAATACAAATCTCACAAATCTTTCTTGACTCTAGAGGCATCGAGAAATAGCTGTCTACTAGCTCTGACACAGGAAGACCCAGACAGAACATACAGAGCTGTGTCACAAGCTGAGAAAGGCGCACAGACTGCTCTGGGCCACTGAGGCTTGCAATCTGATCACAATGGAGCCATAGGGCACTCTGTGTACCTCAGGCCTCTGCGTTTTCCTCTGGGTCTGCTATGCTACAAGATAGTTTTGTTGAGTCAATAGGCAAAATTAAAGATTTATATGGTAAATGTTAATAAAATAGGAAACAAATTTTCACAAATACCATATCAGCAGAATCCTAAACCCAACTGAATCTAATCCTTCTGTATGATAACATTTAGCTTAGAATTCCCTGTCACCAGCATGATTACAGACATTGTCTGTAACGCTGACCTTAGCTGCACAAAACCATCTGATAGGTTGGACCCGAGACACAGTTTGTTCAACCTGGTCTACAACAGACCAGTATCTGCCTCTAGTCTTTCAATGTCTTTGAACTGTTTTCCAACCCTATAACGCACAGATAAGTGGTAGTAATGCAGAATATCTGCTGCCTAGGGACATACAAATTATCTTTACCTGTGTTTGCAGGATCATAAAGGCATCTGTAAATGTGCCTTGTATTTAATTTACCTTTGAGCTGGTTGTGACATTTTATGATTCCCTTACTGACCATGAATTCAACAAAATCTCTGAAATGTACTAATTTTTTAAATCTGTTTGAGTCATAATGTTATCTGGTTTTGAAACTTATCATTTAAGTAAAGGAGACAACAGCAATTTTACAGTCGAAAGCATGGCAGTTACTGCCTTTATCAAATGATCAAAGTCAACAGCCCCCATGCTATCCTCCTGATAGCACAGTGATACTCTTACCTACCACTCAGGTGCAAAAAGCACCACCTGATTCTAATCAAGAGGAAGCTTTAGGAAAAAACAAAGGGAGGGACATTCCATAAAATAAAAATCTCACACTTTTCAAGATCATGAAAAGCTAAGAGATTTTTTCAGATTAAAGCAGGCTAAAGAGACATGACAATTAAATACAACACGTGATCCTGAATTACATCCAGGACTATGTTTCCCTTAACAACACAAGCATTTCTGTTGTGGTAAAAGGACACAAGTAGAAAACCTGGTGAAACATGGGCAAGGTTTATAAAGAACTGTGTTGTATGAATTTCCTGATAATTGTATATTTAGATATACCTGGTTTGTAGCTTATTCTCCAATTTTTTTTTTGGAAAAATAAATTGAAAGAGAATGATAATGTAAATGTGGCTGAAATATTAACATATGCAGAATCTGAGAGAAGGTTATGCAAGGATCTTATTGTACCACTTTGCAGTTTACCTGTGAGCATGAAGCTATTTCAAAGATAAGGGTATTAAAGCGTGCATACTCTATAAAATATAACACTTCATTACTTATCAGGTAAGGACAAGTTAGAATGGTGTTTCCAAAGCTATGTTCCAGAGAACATTAATTCCAGGAGGCAGTATTAGAATCTAGCATAACTGGGGCTTATGGAGATGTAAAACTGCTCTCCTGTCTTCTTTTTCTGGCCCCAGGCACTTTGGCAGCCTTAGTATATAGTGCAGACATGGCCAAGTCCAAGAACCACACCACAAAACATCAGTCCCAAATATGGCACAGAAATGGCACCAAGAAACCCCAATCCCAAAGACACAAATCTCTTAAAGGGGTGGACCCCAAGTTCCTAAGGAAAATGCATTTTGCCAAGAAGCACAACAAGTAGGGCCTGAAGAAGATGAAGGCCAACAGCACCAAGGCTAACACTGCATGGTGCTGAAGCTATTAAGGCCCTTGTCAAGCCTAAGGAAGCTAAGTCCATGATACTAAAGGGTGTTTGCTGCAAACACGAGCCCACATTGCCCAGGGTCTTAGACTGTCCTAGCTAAAGAACACCACGAAGGCCAAGACCGATCCAAGATTCAAATCAAGGCCCAGACCAAGGCTCAAATCAAGCCCAAGGCCTGCACCTGCAATCCCAGTTCCAGCTCAGGCTACTCTCAAAGGTGCGCAGCCCACCATGAAGTTTACATAACAGTATTTGCCTGCCAGTGGAAAGACAAAAGGTATGACTCCTGCATGCTGTCTGTATGGGGCTAGTGCCCGCCTGTGCTGTTTCTACGAATAAAGATGAGACAGGGCAAAAACAAACTAACAAAAAAGCTATCCTCCCACCTCCTCTCCTGCTCAGGAGGTGTGGAATGTCTACCCTGATCTGGCTCTGTCAATGCATTTGCAGACAGGACTCATACTTCAATGTATCTATATAGCAGGCTAGTTTTTAAGTTGGTAATTTTTTATGGTCTATGAATGATGTTATAAACATCCAAAAGGCCCTTAGCAGAAAAAAATGTTTTCCCACCCCCATTAGGGTAAAGTGCAAACTGCACAGGCCCTTCCTTTATGCAGGCCTCCTCTCAAGTACACCTAACCCTGCTGGCCATAGTCAGAAGATTGAGTGGCCAGTTACTTCTTCTGTTGGGAACCCAGTCTCCCCCAACCCTATGCCCTATGCCCCATGCCCCACCCCCAGCACCTCCAACTCCCTCCTCTACTTGCTCCTTCTGTATGCAGTGGCTTCACACAACTTAGATTCCTGTACCTCTCAATAAAGCATGAAGCTGATCCGCAGATTTCACTCACACCTTTTTGGCAGACCCAAATAATCAAAAAAGGAAAGCCTGGCCAATTGCCTTGATTTAGATCCTAGAACGGGTATCAGTAGATCTAGAGAAAATGAAGATAAGTTAAACTCAGTAGCTATCTCTTAGAATTACCTTGAGAAATGGAATCACAAAAGGACGAAGAGGAAAGTTTGTGGCCTCTTGGAGCTTACAATGGAATTCTTCAATTGTCACTGTTGAGTTCTGAAAAGACAAATAACATTGTTTACTTTCAAAACCGGACACTATGTCATAGCGCTGAACCCTTTCCTATCACAAGGGGGAAAAAATGCCAGAGGACTCTTACTAACTCAATCCTCCCTCAAAGGTGAATGAAATTCTATTTCCTTTATAAAGCTAAACTCCTTTGCTTGGTGGCCTGGGCCAGAGCAGGGCACTGCCTTCCTCACCTCTCATGAAGAGAGGCACTGAGGTCCACCTCCTATTGGAGGATTCATCAACGGCCCATTAGGAGGCCGGCGCGTGGTTCAATAGGCTAATCCTCCACCTTGAGGCGCCGGCACACCGGATTCTAGTCCCGGTCGGGGCACTGGATTCTGTCCCGGTTGCTCCTCTTCCAGGCCAGCTCTCTGCTATGGCCCGGGAGGGCAGTGGAGGATGGCCCAAGTGCTTGGGCCCTGCACCTGAATGGGAGACCAGGAGAAGCACCTGGCTCCTGCCTTCGGATCAGCACAGCACGCCGGCCGTGGCGGCCAGTGGAGGGTGAACCAACAGCAAAAGGAAGACCTTTCTCTCTGTCTCTCTCTCTCACTGTCCACTCTGCCTGTCCAAAAAAAAAAAAAAGGCCCATTAGGGCCAGGGCCAGAGAATCAAGTTTACAATGTTTTCTGTAGAACAGATCCTAACTCAGCCCAAAATGCCAACTTAATAGTATTTCCTATCCACCTGAAGCTACCTTTCCCATGGTTTCTAAATGGAAGCTAAAACCAAACAAAAAGAGCAATCGGTGTTATCTACCTTTAAACGACCTAGTAGCCTTTCAGAACAATTCCAAACGGGCAAATTCCCCTAAGCAAGTTTTAATCACTCTCAGAAGTTATTAGCACTTCTATTGTATCTTCTCAAGCGTCTACCCTTTGCTTTACTTTTATTTGAAATGCAGAGTTAGAGAGGAAAGATCTTCCATCTGCTGGTTCACTCCCCAGATGGCTGCAACAAGAGTCCGGCCTTTAAACAAGGAATGAATCTCAGCTCCTCTGCTAAGAGGAATAAACAAAACATTTGCTTCAAAGTTCACAAAAGATGTTTCTTTTGTTTAAAATATTAATTTTATCTAATTCAGAGAGAAAAAAAGAGGAAGTGAGACCAGAGACCAAGTCAACTTCCCATGTACTGGTTCACTCTGCAAATGTTCAAGCTAATGTTCAGGGAGGGCAAAACTGGAATCCAGGAAATCAATCCAGCCCTGCATGGGTGGCAGCAATCAATTACTTGAGCATCACTTGGTGCCCCCCAGTGTACTCAACAGCAGAAACTGGAATTGAGAATGGAGCTATGACTCAAACCTATGACTTAGATATAGATATAAGATCTCAAATAGCACTTTAACCACTGTGTCTGCTTCTAGACTGAGACATCTTCTAAGGAAGTAGCTCTTCAATTTTTTTGGTCCCAGATTCCATGTAAGTTATACATATTGTATCAATCGATATTCACTGTATTAAATATAAAAACTGAAAATTTAAAAAATTAACCCATTTCAAAATAACCCATTATATATGGGACACTATTTTACAGTGTTGCAATTCCATAATAGCTAGTCAATTAAAAGACAGTTGGAATCCACCACTTCTGCATTAATCTGTCACAAAATCCCACGGTATGTCCCTAGAATATTCTACCATACATGCTTGAGAGAATAAGAGGAAAATAAAGGCAAGTAACATCTTACTTTTTCTATGAAAACGGTTTGGATGTTTTGGACACCTAGAAAGGATATTAGGGGCATTCCGGGGGTCTCTGGATTGCACATCAAGAAGGGTGTTCTTGTGATGCATCTTTTTAACACATATGGAGACAGATGTGCAGGAAGGAGTACAGGATGCTGTTACTGGAGGTACATCTTGAAAAATCTAATTTATAAACATTGGGAATTGGCAGTACTTTCCTTATAAACACTGAGAGTAATATCCTTTTTGGCTGTTAATATCAGAAAACCATTCCTTTCTATCACAGGCTCACCATGCTCAATACAGAAAGAAAAACTATGTGTTATCTTGAAAATTCTATAGAAACTACATATGCATAAGGAGTAGAGCAATGAAATACAATTGATAAAATTTACTTAAACCATGAAACTTGTAGTTTCATAAATTATTATTATTTTGAAAATTAAGCTTGCTGGTATTCTAATCTGCATGGTAGGGAAACTATGTCTTAGTGCTGAATACATTAAATTAGAAAGCCTAGAATTAACTTGGTGGACCCCAGAAAGCTTGTTGAAACCAATTTTTAAGACAAATTCAGGGGGCTGGCGCTGTGGCACCCCGGCCTGCAATGCCATCATCCCATATGGGTGCCGGTTCAAGTCCCAGCTGCTCCACTTCCCATCCAGCTCTCTGCTATGGCCTGCGAAAGCAGTGGAGGATGGCCCAAGTCCTTGGGCCCCTGCACCTGCGTGGGAGACCTGGAAGAAGCTCCTGGATCCTGGCTTCATTGTGGTCACTTGGGGAGTGAACCAGTGGAATGGAAGACCTCTCTCTGGCTGTACCTCTCTCTAATTCTTTCAAATCTGATCCAGATCCCTACTAATGGCCCAAGTACCTGGGCCCCCTAGCACCCATCTGGGAGAACTGGATCGAGTTTTAGGCTCCTGGCTTTGGCCTGGCCCAGCCCTGGCTGCAGGAGCATTTGGGGAGTGAACTAGCAGATGGAAGAAAAACAAAAAAAAACCAAAAAACAACTAAAGCTGCTTCCTGGAACTTTATCAGTACCTTCAGCAATAAGGTAAGCATAGTTTTGCTTCTTGATAAAGATTACCATAAAATCTACAATCCAGCAGAGTTTAGATCCAAGCCACCTACGCAGGTAGCTGCCAACAGCAGAAATTCCATACTTACCACTAGTGCTAGAACAAGAGTCCGCACCTTCTCCCCAATCTCTGGGGAGATATCATTCCCAAACTGTTGCAGGGTGGTAAGAAAGCGTTTGAGCTTGCTGAGCTGCCGAGCACCACAAGTGGCTGGCAACTGTTGATTAGTCAGGGCAGATGATGTGGAAGAAGCGGGACCATTGCTGTATCTCTGTGGTGGTGACGGGGCACCATTCAGGGTTGGAGGAGAATGGTTGATTCCATTGCTTACTAAAAGAAAGTCAAAATAAAAGATCCAGTTTAACTAAAAAGCAGGAGGACCTCTGCTCTCTCATTTGAATTTTGTAAATCACCAAGTTAAAAAAAGAGCAACAAAAACTCCATTTCTGTTTTGAACAAGATTGCTATCAGACAAACTGTCAAAAACAAAATAAAGATAACAATATAACAATGTTAAAACAAAAGTGTTCTTCAGCCTAGAGAAGGCACTTGTCACTCCAGGGTGCCACGGGCAGTGCTGGGCAGCTCTGACAAAAACTGCCTTCAACAGGCAGAGCTTGAGCTGTCTGTCCACTGTGGACAGTCTTGCCCATTTTTTATTACATCTTCTTCCATTTCAGGGTCTTAACCCACATTATCGAAGACTATAGATTTAATGACCATTCAGAAACTCAAGTTCATCAGAGTCAGTTTATATGCTGCTAAATTAATACTGCTAATTTCTTGGTCGTTCAATAAAGCACTAAGTTCCATGAGCTGGGGCTGTAGCATAGCAGGTAAAGCCACTGCCTACAGTGCTGGCATCCCATATGGGTGCCGGTTTGAGCTCTGGTTACTCCACTTGCAGACAATGGGGAGTGAACCAATGGATGGAAGACCTTTCTCTCTGTCTGCCTCTCCTTCTCTTTGTGTAACTGTGACTTTTCAGTAAAATAAATCTTTTAAAAAATTCTAATACATGTGGCTAATTATGGTATACCTACTTCTTTAATTTTTAAATATATTTAATCTATTGATTTGAGAGGTGGTGGGGAGGGAGATGGGGAGAGGGAGATGGGGAGAGGGAGAGGGAGAGGGAGAGGGAGATGGGGAGAGGGAGATGGGGAGAGGGAGAGGGAGAGGGAGAGGGAGAGGGAGAGGGAGAGGGAGAGGGAGAGGGAGAGGGAGAGGGAGAGGGAGAGGGAGAGGGAGAGGGAGAGGGAGAGGGAGAGGGAGAGGGAGAGGGAGAGGGAGAGGGAGAGGGAGAGGGAGAGGGAGAGGGAGAGGAGAGGGAGAGGGAGAGGGAGAGGGAGAGGGAGAGGGAGAGGGAGAGGGAGAGGGAGAGGGAGAGGGAGAGGGAGAGGGAGAGGGAGAGGGAGAGGGAGAGGGAGAGGGAGAGGGAGAGGGAGAGGGAGAGAGGGAGAGGGAGAGGGAGAGGGAGAGGGAGAGGGAGAGGGAGAGGGAGAGGGAGAGGGAGAGGGAGAGGGAGAGACCTCCTATCCACTGGTTCACTTCCCAAATGCCCACAACAACTGGAACTTGACCAGGATGAAGGTGCAAGCGAGGAACTCCATTCAGGTCTCCAGTAAGAATCACAGGAACTTTATACTTGAGCCATCATCTACTGTCTCCAATCAGCAGAAAGCTGTAATCAGCAACAGAGTGGTTGGGAGCAGAGCTGTGGCACAGCAGGTTGAGCCTCCACCTGAGGGAGTCCATATCCTATGTTATTGCCAGTTCAATTCCTGGCTGTTCCACTTCTGATTCAGCTCCTGGCTAATGACCTGGGAACACTGTAGAGGACAGCCCAAGAGTTTGGACCCCTGCACCCATGTGGGAAATCTGGAAGAAGTTCCTGACTTCAGATGGATCCAGCTCCTGGAGTTGTGGCCATTTTGGGGAGTGAACCAGCAGAGCGAAAACCTTTCTCTCTGTAACCCTGCCAATCAAATAAATAAATAGATCTTTAAAAGAGAGAGAGAGAGATGGCACCTGAATCTAGTCACTATGACATGGGAAGTAGGCGTCCCAAGTACAGTTTTAACTGCTATGATAAACACCATCCCTCCTGTTGTTCTTAATAGTCCTTTCTTGGTAGTTTCAACCTGGAAAATAATCAGGAAGCTATGTTCTTGCTTGCATTAAGTAAAACCTCCTTTGTCATTCAACATTGAAATAAAATTACCTAGTATCTAGGTGTAGAACAGTTTTCATTTAATCATATTCAGGCTTGAAAATCTAAGAAAGTAAAACAGTATCTAAAAAAAGCGGGGAGGGTGTTTGGCCTGGCAGCTAAGGTGCCCTCAACCATACAAGCTCCACTGCTGATTCTAGCATCCGTTTAAATTTGTACACCAGGAGTCAGTAGGCATCAATCAACTATTGATGATTCCTTGACTCCCACAAGAAGGAATGGATTAAAATACTGGTCCTGGTTTTAGCCTGGCTCAGCCCTGGCTGTCGCTGGCATTTAGGGAGTGAAACAACAGATGGGAGCTTTCTGTCTATCATTTCTCACAAATAATTTATGTTAAATATATAGAAATAGGACACAATTCAAATACTGAACAAGGTGTAAAGAGTACAATCATTAAATTTTCACCTAGATTAGAAAGCTGACAGTTATTTGTATTCTGCCTAACATAATCTTATCAATTTCCCATTTCTGTTCTGCTTTCTCTAAGCCAGTCAGTGTCATATGACTACCTGTTCCTTGCTCCTAGGCCAACCTTTCATGGAACTTTATCTGGCAAAGTCGTCTTCATTCTATACAAAGGGAATGGATGAAAGAATATAATTAAGATAAGTTTGGGGTGGGCATGAGACACACCAGGTTATGACAATGCTTGGGGCCCTAGCATCCCATGTGGAAATGTCAATTTAAGCCCTGGCAAATCTACTTCTGTTTTTTTAAAGCAATTATTTTTTTTAAAAGACTTCTTTTATTATTTTTTTTTTATTTGACAGAGTTAGACAGTGAGAAAGAGAGACAGAGAGAAAGGTATTCCTTCGGTTGGTTCACCCCACAAATGGCCACCGCGGCTGGTGCTATGCAGATCCAAAGCCAGGAGCCAGGAGCTCCGCCCACCCGGTCTCCCAAGCGGGGGCAGGGGCCCAAGCACTTGGGCCATCTTCCACTGCCTTCCCAGGCCACAGCAGAGAGCTGGACTGGAAGAGTAGCAACCTAGGCTAAAAGCGGCGTCCATATGGGATGCTGGTGCTGCAGGCGGAGGATTAGCCTATTGAGCGACGGTGCCAGCCCTATTTTACTTATTTGAAAGAGCTACAGAGAGAAGTAGAGACAGAGAGAGGAATTCCATCTGCTGGTTCACTCCCAAATGGCCACAATGCCTACTGCTGATCCGATCTGGAGCCAGGAGCTGGGAGCCAGGAGCTTCTTCTGGGTCTCTCACATGGATGCTAGGGCCCAAGGGCTTGGGTTGTCTTCCACTGCTTTCCCGGGCACATTAGCAGGGAACTGGATTAGAAGTGGAGCTGCTTGGCCGGTGGCGCGGCTCAATAGGCTAATCCTCTTGGGGCACCAACACCCCGGGTTCTAGTCCCTGTCACTCCTGTTCCTGTCCAGCTCTCTGAATGGGAGACCAGGAGAAGCACCTGGCTCCTGGCTTTGGATCAGTGCGGTGTGCCGGCCACAGCGGTCATTGGGAGGTGAACCAACGGAAAACGAAGACCTTTCTTTCTGTCTCTCTCTCACTGTCCACTCTGCCTGTCAAAAATAAATAAATAAATAAATAAATAAATAAATAAAAGTAAAGTGGAGCTGCTGGAACTCAAACCAGGATGTCAGCACTACAGGTTGGGGCTTTAGCCCGCTGAGCCACAACACTGGCCCGGTCACTCTGCTGCTGATCCAGCTTCCTGCTAATGTACCAAGGAAGGCAGCAGATGATGGCCCAAGTACCTGGAACTCTGTCACCCACAAGGGACAGCCTGGTGGAGTTCTGGGCTTGTGGCTTTGTCCTGGCTCAGCCCAGGCTATTATGGGCAGTCGACTGAATCAGCAGATGGAAGACTTTTCTCTCCCTCTTATGGCATCTGCCTTTCAATAAACAAATAAATCAATGACACCTACAAAACAAAGCTTATTGTTGATAGAAATTTGTAATCTATACATTGTTTTCCTAATATGCATGTTTCACAAACTAAGTGAATGTTTCAGCTCAGGCACTGCCCATATATAAGCACTTTATCTGAATATGCTGGAACTGCATCTCCAGGGAGGCCCATGGGGATTTTATCAACCATCCTTGTGTTGCCTATGTACATGGTTCATGGCCCACTTCTGCTCCTGATTCTAGCTTCCTCCTAGTGTGCACCACAGGAGGCAGCAAGGCATACCTTGTATGGGTCAAGTGTTTTTGTCTCTGTCACCCACACAGGATACTAAGACTGAACCTCCAATTCCTGACTTTGGCATAGTACAGCCTGGGATGTCATGGAGAAAAAACCAGGAGATAGGAACTCTGTGTTTCTTTCTTGTCCTGCCTCTCAAATTACTTAATTTTTTTTTCTATGAACTTGTCCCTCAACAAGTGTGTGTGTGTGTGTGTGTGTGTGTGTGGTTGTCTAAGTTTTAAATTGGCATCTTTTTAGAATATGTACACCAGACAGGGTAAGTGAAAATTCAGCAGCAGTGCATACTGGAAAGACAGTTTTCAAAAGTAGTTATGCCAGTGGTACCATTTTGGTGGAGTGGATTAAGTTATCACCTGCAAGCCAGATCTCATATGGGTACTGGTTTGTGTCCTGGCTGCTCCATTTTTCATCCAGCTCTCTGGTAATATGCCCAGGAAAGAAATGGAAGATGGTCTGGGTGCTTGGGCTCCTGTCACCAACTGGGAGGTCTGGATGACACTCCTGACTCCAGCCTGGAGCAGCGCTGGGTGTTGGGACCATGTGTGGAGTGAACCAGTAGAGGGATACTGTGCCCTCTTGAAACTTCATCTTGAAGTCCCAACCCCTTGTACCTTACAATGTACTTGCAGGCAGAGACTTTAAAGAACCCAGGTTAAATGAGCTCAAATGAGTGGTCCTATTCCAAACTCATTAATGCCTTTCTAAGTAGAGGAAGACACTGGTGATGTATGTAGGGTAAGGAAAAAGGCTTAAGAAACCAACACCTTCCACTTCAATTTCTAAACTGCAGAACTGAGAGAAAATAAGTGTTACCCATTCTGTGCTCTTTTGTTATGGTATTCTTAGGACAGTACATTCTATTTTGTTAAGACATTTCCATGATAGCCATAGAACAGTTTTAGAAGTAGTTTTATAATTCTATGAAATATAAGTTTTCTAAAAAAATTTTTGACAGGAAGAGTTAGTGAGAGAGAGAGACAGAGAGAAAGGTCTTCCTTTTTCCGTTGATTCATCCCCCATGTGGCCGCTACGGCCGGCGTGCTGTGCTGATCCGAAGCCAGGAGCCAGGTGCTTCCTCCTGGTTTCCCATGCAGGTGCAGGGCCCAAGCACTTGGGCCATCCTCCACTGCCCTCCCGGGCCACAGCATAGAGCTGGACTGGAAGAGGGGCAACCGGGACAGAATCCGGCGCCCCAACCGGGACTAGAACCCGGTGTGCTGGCGCCATAGGTGGAGGATTAGCCTAGTGAGCCGCGGCGCCAGCCAAAAAAAAATATACTTTTTAAAATACGTATTTATTTATTGTGAAAGTCAGAGCTACAGAGAGAGGATGAGAGAGAGAGAGAGAGAGAGAGAGAGAGAGAGAGATCTTCCATCTGTTAGTTTACTCCCTAGAGATGTTCACAATAGCTGGTGCTGTGCCAGGTCAAAGCCAGGAGCCAGGAGCTTCAGCCAGGTCTCTTATGTGGATAGCAGGGGCCCAATCACTTGGGCCATCTTCTGTGCTTTTTCTCAAGCCATTAGCAGGGAGCTGGATTTGAGTGGAGCAACCACGACTCAAACTGGTGCCCATATGAGATTCTGGTGTCGCAGGCAGCAGCTTTACCTGCTATGCCACAATACCAACCCCTAAGAAACGAATTTTGAATCTTATAAATCAGTACAGAAATTCAAAATGACATTGTTCGAGTCTAAGAAATAATAGCCGCTAAATACCATGAAAATAAACTTCTAAATAGGTAAGTACTATTCTCAGATAGAAAATAGCGATTTCTTAATATTTATTTTATTTCTTTGGGAGGCAGAGAAAAATACTGGGTGAGTGTGTGAACTCCTATCTGCTAGTTTACTCCCACAGAAGACCACATCAGCCAGAACGCTGCGGGGGGGGGGGGGGGCACGCTGCACACTACAACTCAATCCAGGTCTATAAATGGTTAGCAGGACACAACCACTTGAGCCATCCCCGTTATGTCCAAGGGTGTCCATTAGGAGGAAATCAGAACCTAGAGTATAGCCTGGACTCGAACCCAGATCCTCTGATGTGGAATTGAAGGTGTCTTAAGTGGTATCTTAACTACTGCCACCACTTACCCGGGCAGTAAAAATAAGAAACAACCAGATACATTTATGTTCATCTATCCATATATTTTAATAGCATTTCAAATGAATAGCGTATCTGCAAGACTTAAGAGAAGTCAGTCACCTAGATTCAAATGGCAACCTGAGCCACAAACCAAAGCAATTAAGAGCTCTCACATGCTGTAGGAGTAAAGGACATCGGCCGCGGTCCTCCAGGATTGACCGGTGGGAGGGGTGGCATGGCAGGAGGTGAGGATCTTGACTGTATCTTCACTTCCACAGGCGACCCAGGCATTGCTGGCACCCTTTTCTCAGGACCAACTACAGAGAATAAAAGAAACAAAGGTCATGCTTTTTTATAACAGAATAAAAATAGCGACAAACTGAAATACCTACATACTGTTCTAGAATAATGACAAGTTAAGCAGACGTTTAGTATAACAAGCTGAGTGGCAGTCCCCAAAATACGTCCATATCCTAACATCTGGGATTGTGGCTGTTACCTTATATAGGAAAATGGTGTCTGAAGACATAACTAGGGGAGGTTCTCCACAGGAGCGATCACATTGGATTATCTGTGTAGGCTTTAAATCCAAAGTGAATGTAAGTGTCATCCTTAACGAAGAAAAGAAGAGAATCATTGAGAGAGACCAACACTTGGTGACAGATGCAGTCACTAAAGTGATGCTTCTCCAAACCAAGGAATGCCGCTGATAGCCCCGCCAGGGCCTCCCCACTGAGCTCTCCAGAAAGACTCAGCACCTTTATTTGGACTTCTGAATGACTAAACTGTGAGAAAATAAACTTCTATTGTCTTCAGCCACCCAGTCTGTGATACTTTGTTTTGTCAACCTGACACTAGAACAAAGGGACAGGTCAAGGGGTATATGAATTAACAGTTAACAGTTTAGATGGTGGCTGAGAAAGGTTAAAAATTGCAAAGGCTTTTCCTTATTAATGCAGCATATCAGATAGGGGGGAAAAAATCTAACCTGTAGACCTGAACTGCATGGCACAGAAACAGAAATGTAATTAGTTGTTTATAAATTACTTATCATGATGAAATACTGTATCTTTATGTCTCAACTCTCAAAAGAGATGAAGTCAATCTCTAACATCATGCATAGAAATTTCATTTATGATGTATATTGTTCAAAGCGATGAAAAGTAGAACTGATTCTAAATTAAACATAGCTACTTCAGCTACAGGATCAACGACAAGCAGCAGGTTGATAATACTAAACAGCAACAAAATTCCAGGAGGAAAAATTAGATCAAACCTAACTAATGATATTAGAATTAGGTCTGCATTAACATGAGTAAGACTTCATACTGAAGAGTGATTTTTTAATTAATTTGTTTACTTGAAAGTTACAGAAGAGTAGGGAAGAAACAATCTTCTTTGTATCTGCTAATCCACTGGTTTATTCCCTAGATAGGCCCCACACCAAGCGCTGGGCCGGCCCAAGCTAGGAGCCAGGAGCTTCATCTGGGTCTCCCACGAGGGTGGCAGGGGCCCAAACACTGATCTATCTCCCACTCCTTTTCCTTGGCTACCACCAAGGAGCTGGATTGGAAATGGAGCAACCAGGACACAAAGTGGTGCCCATATGGGATGTTGGCATCAAAGGAGGAGGCCTAACCTTCTAGGGCACAACAACAGCCATTCTTCCCCATCAAAGGCAAAATGTTACACATTTTGGTTACTAATAAAACCAGGACCACCACAAGAGTTACAGAGAGGCAGAGGCAGAGGCAAGAGAGAGAGAGAGAGACAGACAGACAGACAGACACAACATTCTATCTGCTGATTCACTCCCCAGACAGCCGCAACGGCTAGAGCTGCACCAATCCAAAGCCAAGAGCCAGGATATTCTTCCAGGTTTCCCATATGGGTGCAGGGGCCCAAGGACTTGGGTCATCTTCTGCTTTCCCAGGCCATAGCAGAGAGCTGGATCAGAAGTGGAGCATCCAGAACCCAAATGGACACCCACAGGGGATGCTGGCACTACAGTGCCACAGCGCCGGCCCCCCAACAATCTCTTTTAAAGTGAGCTCTGTTCCTTTTAGTAAGGCAACGTTTCTATGTAACCAGTACACATTTGGAGCCAGTGCTGTGATGCAGTGGATTAAGCCACTGGCTTTCCATATGGGCACAGGTTAGAGTCCCAGTTGCTCCACTTCTTATCCCACTCCCTGCTATTGTGCCTGACAAAGGAGCAGGAGATGGCTCAAGTACTTGGGCCCTTCCATTCACACAGGATATCTGGGTGAAGCCCAAGGCTCCCGACTTCAGCCTAGCCCAGCCCTGGCAGTTTTCACGGTTTGGGGGTGAACCAGCAGGTGAAGATTGATTGACAGATCTCTTTCTCTCTAACTCTGCATTTCAAATAAATAAAATAAGTCTTTTTTTTTTATTTTTTATTTTTTTGACAGGCAGAGTGGACAGTGAGAGAGAGAGACAGAGAGAAAGGTCTTCCTTTGCCGTTGGTTCACCCTCCAATGGCCGCCGCGGCCGGCGCGCTGCGGCCGGCGCACCGCGCTGATCCGATGGCAGGAGCCAGGAGCCAGGTGCTTTTCCTGGTCTCCCATGGGGTGCAGGGCCCAAGCACTTGGGCCATCCTCCACTGCACTCCCTGGCCACAGCAGAGGGCTGGCCTGGAAGAGGGGCAACCGGGACAGAATCCGGCGCCCCGACCGGGACTAGAACCCGGTGTGCCGGCGCCGCAAGGCGGAGGATTAGCCTAGTGAGCCGCGGCGCCGGCCTTAAAATAAGTCTTTAAAAATAAATAGTGGGGCTGGCGCTGTGGCATAGCCGATAAAGCCACCTCCTACAGTGTTGGCATCCCATATGGCTGTTCCACCTCCAATCCAGCTGTCTGCTATGGCCTGAGAAAGCAGCAGAAGATGGCCCAAGTGCTTGGGCCCCTGCACCCGCATAGGAGATCTCAAAGAAGCAGATGGAAGACCTCTCTCTCTCTCTCTCTCTTACTCTACCTACAAATAAAATAAAAATAAGTTAATAGTATACATTCCTTCTATAATAACTACTGAAATAAATTTAAAGTATAAGACATGGGTAGCAAAGGTTCAAATGAGAATGCTAAGTCAATCTTTTTTCTCTGAAACCATAGCTAACAAGAAAATGCACACAAAAGTGTTCATAGTCCTGGTAATAAGACACATCTTTGCTTATTCACAGGACTGATGAGAAAAATATCCCCAAATATTATTTTTATGTTTCAGTTTATAGTGACCACATTTTACAAAAGACCTAAGAGTAAAGAAATTGAATTCAATGACACAACATTCCCAAGTTACAAATCTCTGACAAAACCATGTAGGCAGCACTGCCAGTCCTTCTCAGTTCCTCTGTTCAGGACATTGTCTTTGTGAGGGTTATGGTCACCCTGTCTGATCAGTAGACTAATATGCTGGTGCGCTTGCCTTTTTCTCCCTGGCAGTATTGTCTCAATGCCCTTCAGAACAGTTGACATGCTTCCAGCTCTTCCATCTGGGCCCAGCTTTCTGGGGGGCGGTGGAGAAGGGAAGGAAGAAATTGACAGTTGTCTCGCACTGCTCTCTGCTGTGCACAGCGTGCCACAACCTGGGGAAAGCCTTTTCTCAGACCACCTGCCTTACCAGCAAGGGCGCCAAAGGCCTGAGGAAGGCTTAGGAGTGACATGTGTTTTAGCATTCAGCACTTGGCAGTATCCAAAAGTTGCATCAGACAAATGCAAACCAATAACTGCATGGTCTTACCAACCAAAACCTTAAGTAGTGAGCGAAACCCAACCCTGAGTTTTGTATATAGACTGACAAAACTTATCTCTGGTTCATTACCCACACAACTGTAACACAAGTGTCAATTCTCGTGTTTCAAAAATTACACCAGGAAGATATGCAGATTGAGAGATCAGGTGCAAATCCTCATTCTATTACTCACAACTGACACAAATGCTAGCAAATCATGTCATGTCTCTGGGGCTGGTTTTCAATATACATAAAATGAGTGGTAAGACCTACCAGAGGAGGAAAGTTGTAAGATTTGATGTAATACCTAGAAGAGTGCTAGACATAAAGAAGGTGCTTTGTACATAATAATTATTAGAAAACAGGAACCTTAGTGTCAAAATCTGGGTTTACAATTCAACCCAGAACATGAACATGGCTGGCGCTGCGGTTCAATAGGCTAATCCTCTGCCTTGCAGCGCCGGCACACCAGGTTCTAGTCCCAGTCGGGGCGCTGGGTTCTGTCCCAGTTGACCCTCTTCCAGGCCAGCTCTCTGCTCTGGCCTGGGAGGGCAGTGGAGGATGGCCCAAGTCCTTGGGCCCCTGCACACGCATGAGAGACCAGGAGGAAGCACCTGGCTCCTGGCTTAGGATCAGCACGGCGCGCCGGCTGCAGCGCACCGGCTGTGGCGGCCATTGGAGGGTGAACCAACAGCAAAGGAAGACCTTTCTCTCTGTCTCTCTCTCTGTCCACTCTGCCTGTCAAAAAATTTAAAAAAATAAAAAAAAGAACATGAACATGTGCAACTTAACATTAACATCATTTTCTATGAAAATGGGTATATTATCAACAATTTATCCATCTAATCTTAAAGACAGTGGGTGAAATGATCCCAAAGCTAACAGTTTAAAAAGCACCCAGCACAATGTACCACGTTATTTTGCTGGATGCTGGGAAGCAGAAGCACACTTCATGGTGAGAGATCTATCCTAGGTGGTCTATACAACACTAGAAAAAAAGCAGTTGCTCAGTTAGTTGATGGGTAAGGAGTACATTCCAAAGCAGGAATTAACAATGTTTTCTCTAATTTATCTGAGAGGCAGAGAGCTCCTACCCCCTGGTTCAGTCTCTAAATGCCCACAATGGCTGGGCCTAGGTCAAAGTCAGGAGCTGGGAACGCAATCCAGGTCTCTTATATGGGTGGCAGGAACCCAGCACCACTTCCTCCCAAGGAGCATACTGGCAGGAATTTGGAGTCAAGACCCTGGAATTGAATCCAAGCACTCTGGTGGTATCCTAACTCCCATCTTAACTACTAAGCCAAAAGCCCACCCCTGGAGTAGGCATTTTAACCCACTGTGTGGGAGTCAGACTAAGGCTGGAGTAAACCCCTGTGGGAAGATGGCTGTGACATGCCTTTATATCACCAATATTATGGTGATTGTATTTCTGAGTTTTTACAAATTGATATGTTACATTCTACCTGAGACACTGAAAGACCCAACCACATCCTGAGCTCTTTTCAATACCAGAGATTCTTAGGTAAAGATCAGTAAGAAATTCCTTTTCCTCAAGTGTGACTTGAGCC